ATAAGTAAATAATTCCAGCAAGTGCGGTCGCAGTACCAAAAAGAACATTTTTATGATACGTAAAAAAAAACAGAAGGAAAGAGGGCGCCCATCTGCACTCACTCAGCGCCCGAGTTGGCATCACCAGCACTAGGCGCCTTAGGAGATGGAGAGACAGGAACAGAGTCATGAGGAGGCTCCTCCACGTTGGATGGTTGGGGCGCATTCCCCGCTTCTGGTGGAGTCTCCAACTCCCCGATCACATACTCGGCAATTCAGTAAAATCCCAAGTAAGATCGGGGTGATCCTTCACCAGTTTGCCGTGAAAGATCTGCAGGCCAGACAGTATCGCACTGGCACTCATGTTCCTCCCCGTCTCGGACTCCTCGAAGGTATCCAATGAGTGACGCAAGTCGGTGATCTCCTTCCGCGCCTCTTTCAGATCCTTCTTGCACACCTTATAGGCGTCCTGCCACCTCTTCTTCTCCTCCTTGAGGATGTCAATCTCGCTGGCTTGGGAGCCCGCCTCCTGTGCCAGCGCCTCCTTCTCAACCTGAAGAGTGGCTGACTTATTGCGCTCCTCGTCAAGGGCGCCCTGAAGCTGCGACACTTGCAAGGCCGCATTCATTTGCGCCTCGTCGCATTCCTTCACAAGTTGCTCGCGACGCTCCGTCGCGTTATCAAGGTCACGTTGCAACTGTGAGGCAGAAGAAGAGGCTTCGTTCGACTCTCTTTTCGTCTCAGAAAGGCGCCGGGCGCCTCTCTCAGCAAAAAAGAAGAATCTACACGCACAAGACACAATGAGTTAGTACTTGTGCAAAGTTAAAAGAAACCCAAGAATCAAGAACACAGACAACGGGGAACGTACCTTGGCGCCCACTTTCGCCAGTTCAGCAAAGAGGTGATCCCCATTCACCTCGGACGGCACTTGCCACATTTTGGCAGCCGTAATTGCCATGCCCATGGCACAGCCTCGGTCAACAGCCACCAACGGGGAACATGGCAGCTCAATGCGCCCAACATCGGCGCGTGTGGGCTGGAAAATGGGGGGCGCCCGTCGGGGCCTACCCACTGCCCCTCTTCGGTAAGATGGTACTCGAAGGCGCCCCCACCCCCACTTCGGGCGCCGGCGCCCATCTTCTCCTTCCCCTTGTCAGCCTTCTTGCTGACATTGCCCAAAGGGGAGCCAGCCCGCTTCCCCCGTCTAACCAGGGGCTCGGGCTCCTCTTCCCCGGAGTTCCCCTCCTGCTCCGCGGGCTCTGTAGTGGGCGCCTCTACGTGCGGCGCCTCCTCCTCCTCCTCCGGTGCCGAAGAGGCCACGCTAGCAGTCTTCGTGGTACCCCCCTTCACTGCCCTCTTCTTCTTTTTCTTGGGAGCAACAGTAGGCGCCTGCGGTTCCGGAGCAGCCGCAACAGGCGCCTTGGGCCTTGGTGGTGGGGGCGCTCCCCCAGGCATGGCAGCAAGACGGCTCTTCATGAGCTTCGCGATGCTGGTGAAGTCTGACCCTGCACATCGTTAAATAAGTTAGCACCAAAGCAACGTTCATCGACAACAGGACAAGGCAAGAAAGACATTAGCACAACATATGGGCGCCTACGGACCATCATCATAATACGCCTCCAAAATAGGAGGGCGATTCACGGTCTTGCGCAAATTTACCCCCATCTCGCAAATCAGCGGGGCGCCTGCCTTTTCTGTGAGAGACAACTTCACGTCTTTGTTAAACTCCTCCACACTCCCCAGCTTCCACTCTCTCAGGAAGGGGCCCCCACTCTCAAAAAACGAGTCCCGATATGCCTTCATGAAGAAGAACCCGTTGAACCAGCTGCGCCCCAACTTCGGGCACTTCTCCACAAAATGAAAAGGGCGCCCCTTCCTCTTTTGAAGCGACAAGCAGTTATCCAGGGGCGCCATTTTGAAAAAGTACCGGAAAAGATTGAAGGTAGGCTCCACGTTGTGCTCGCGGCAGCGCAGCTTGAAGAGGATGACCACCATGATCACCGAAGGAGACAGGGGCCCCAATGGGCAGCCACAGGTCGTCAGGATTCCCTCCATTATGTGGTCAAGGGGGAACCGCAGCCCAAAGCGGAAATATTCTTGATACACCCCTATCCACTTAGGCCCGCAGACGCCCACTCGTGCGATAGGGGAGGGAGGCGCATACCACCAATCATGGGGCAGTTGGAGGCTGGTCACTAGCTCATGAACACGAGCCAAGGTGACGGTAGAGGTGTGCTGTGGGCCCGCAACGTCGAAAGACAACGACTCCGTCTCCGTCGGAAGATGATCAGGCGGAAACGAGTTCTCCCACACGGATATCTTGTAAGACCCATCGGCGGGCATGAAGCCTGGGGTGGAGGCGCTTGACGGACCCGCGGACGTCGACGCAGGCGCCCTCTCTAAACCAATAAACGACCCAGGCGCAATACGGCCACAGAGTAAGTGACGCCCTACCCTAAAGAGCTAGAATCAAAATAAGGAACGCAACTAGTAGAGCAAGAAAATTCCTTACCGCTTCGACTGGGGCGCCTTGCCTCGCCACCAGCGTTCGAGGCGCCTGCTCCAGCCTCCTCACCCGCAGGGGAGGCGCCCTGGCCAACAGCTTTGTCTCCTTGTGAAGTCATTCTCGGACGAATGGACGAAAAGGCTGACGAAAGAAGAAGAATCTAGAGAGATGTCAGAGAGAATCTAGAGAGAAGTCAGAGCAACAATCTTAGAGAGAGGCGAGAATGTGGAAAGTGACAAGGACTGGTGGGGAGGGGGGTATTTAAAGGAAAGGAGGAGCAGGAGGATAGATGCGCGCAACGTGCCACGTGTCATCATCAAGGGCGGGCTTTTGAGCTTCCCCCCCACCTTTTCCTTTTTTGATTGGAATTTTGGCAAAAAAAAAAAAAAGCGGCCAAAATTCAAACAAGGAAAACGTGGGGGCCAATATCAAACGCCCACCCATGAGGGGGGCATAAGGGATTGAGGCGCCTTAAATCGGGCGCCCGAAAAAGGCAAAACAAGAAGGGCGAGATGCCCAGGATACCGGGCGCCTGAAAAAGGGGACAAGGCAATCACCGAATCAGCTAGGCGCTCAGCAGCAACGCAATGAGCACCTAGCTGGGGGGGCAATTGTTGGGGGTGTTATGAGCAAAGCCCAAGTGGGGGGCAAGGCTTAAGCAAACCAGCCCAAATGGGGGGCAAGGCCCAAGTAAAGGAGAGGCCACATGAGGACAAGGCACAAGAGGCCAAGGGAGGCCAGACTGTCATGTGGTCCAGCGTCTGTGGGCGCCTGTCACGTGCCAGGAGTCTGACAAGGCGGTTGGGATGTCTGGCCAGAAAGAGACAAGAGCATTGAATGAAGGCAGGGAGGCAGCAACGCAATGAGCACCTAGCTGGGGGGGCAATTGTTGGGGGTGTTATGAGCAAAGCCCAAGTGGGGGGCAAGGCTTAAGCAAACCAGCCCAAATGGGGGGCAAGGCCCAAGTAAAGGAGAGGCCACATGAGGACAAGGCACAAGAGGCCAAGGGAGGCCAGACTGTCATGTGGTCCAGCGTCTGTGGGCGCCTGTCACGTGCCAGGAGTCTGACAAGGCGGTTGGGATGTCTGGCCAGAAAGAGACAAGAGCATTGAATGAAGGCAGGGAGGCAGAGATGATCAACCTCGAACGCTGGTAAGTATAAATAGGGGCAGCTGGTAGCATTTACGCAGGTTGGACTCTCTCACAAACTCTAGCTTTGAGACACTTCTTTCTTCTGAGAAACTGACTTGGGCGTCGGAGGATTAACGGGCCGAGGCGCCCCCTCCTTGTTCGTGTGTGCAGATCGGCGCCTGGCGTAAGAGGATCCAGGAGAGTCTTGTAAAGGGTATCGGGTCTCAAACAGTTACCTTATAAAATCTTTTTTTATTACTCAAATATGCAGGGCGGGTTCTTGCGGTATTTTTTTTTTTTTTGGTAAGAGTTCTTGCGCTAGTTTAATTACTCAATAGTGCTGTGGGACTTTGTTTTGTAATCCCTATGATTAATGAAATACCAATCACAGAAGCTTTCCAGACAATTTTCCTTAGTTGAATGTGAAGGGGATTATAGTGAAGCCTGTATCCGGAGTTTATATGGATACTATAGTGAGAGGGGAATAAAAACCCTAAATTCTCACTTCCATTTTCAGTAATTTAACTATTATTTTGCTTATTAAATAAGTACCCGGAAAATTGAACGCTTTAATTTTGATTGTCTTTTGCCAGTAGTACTGAAATGTTGAGTTTTGTGTATGCTGCCATTCCTTTTTAAGTAAATTTACTGGTTGTTTGGAACCTTGGTATATTATAAAATTGTATATTAAGATTATGTTTATACTACAAATTTGTGGGTTTTAAAAACCCATTGTTTGGTAAATATAGAAGAATGCTTGGGTTTTAAAAATTCGTTGGATGGAAAATCTTGGATTACACATAAAAGTGATCTAAGGATACTATATGCTACCAAGCATTCATCATGCATTTTTAATACTTGCATTATGTATTCACATCAACTAAAAAATGTTATATTGTGTAGAATACACGTATTCTGAATTTTTCGATATTTTACACCTACGTGCGCGAATCGCGGGCTGATAACTAGTTATAATTAATGTTGGAACTAACGATACGGAAGGCAATTTTCCAGAAAATTGAAATAATTAATTAATTAATTTATATATATATATATATATGGGGAGCCGGGATGCTTAACTAATTGTCAAGAAACACATATAACCGTAGCATGGCTAGTTATTACCTATTAAGCCTTGCGGTAAAAAAAAAAAAAAACTTCCCTCCCTACCGTGCAAAGTCTGGAGTCACAGGGCCCACATCCATTTCATCCCGAGCCCAGGCCCAGGCTTAGGCCCAAACCAAGCCGAAACAGAAACACGAGCAAAGGATAGAACTATTCTTTGAAAGGTTCTCAAGAAGCAGAGCACCACAGTCCGCCATGGTATGCCCTCTTCCTCTGCTACTGAAAGCCGCGCCATTTCCTTTTCCTCCATGAATTCTCGATGACTTCAATTTCTCCACACAAGCAAACAATGGCACTCTGCGGTCCTTTTCTTCTCTCTTCTTGCCCTGCTCACAGACTCAAGTTCAATCCTTTCCTTCTCACCAAGCACAGTCCTCTTCCCTCCTCCACCCTCTCTCTATGTCGTCCTTCTCTCACAACCATATCTCCCTGGCAATTCAACCGTCCCCGCCCAAGGTTCTTCGCAGGTTTTATTCTATTCCTCCTAACCCTTGGACTGAAATTCCAGTTTCGGATTGCTGCTTTCTACCATTGGTTTCCTACTGGATAATGCAGCCGCCATTTAGTGAATTTTAAACTTTCCTGAACTGAATATCATATTCTGGTGTTGCAAATTTGTTCTATACAGTAGCAATTTTGATGAGCTATATGTTCTGTTCTAAATTACAGCTTCAGTAGCTGCACCAGAAAATGGTGTGTTTCCTTCCTCGGAGCTGGCAAAGTCCTTTGATTTTTCTGCCGAGGAACGAATTTACAACTGGTATTTTTCTCTTTGATCAATCCCTTTTCAAGTGCTGATGTGAGTTTTATGTGTTTCGACCAGCCCAGGGTCCCTTAACTTTTTGGTTCTGATAGCTGCATAATGCCTTTGTTCACATGATTTTGGTCTACTTACTGGATACTAGGTGGGAGTCACAAGGGTACTTCAAGCCATCTGTTCATCGGGGAAGTGAACCTTTCGTGTTATCTATGCCTCCTCCCAATGTTACCGGGTATCTGCATATGGGGCATGCCATCTTCGTCACTCTTGAGGTTCTTATACTCAATCTAAATGCTCGACCGTTGCTCCATAATTTCTGCTGTGAATTTTATACACAACTGCTCTTGGAGAAGAACTTGGACAAAAAGAAACGAAGTGACTTAGCCAACTCTTTTTTGTCGATAACCTCAGACCGATTAATCGAATATTGATCAAACTTGATCAACCAATAACAAGCAACCCTAATGTGGAAAATTTTCTCACGGGTCTTGCTTGGTTTTATACTCCGGGGCACCATGAAATTCTTTTCGTATTGTCTGTTTATTGAGTCGATAATCTTGCCAGTTTGCTTGTTTTTAATCTACTTTGACCTATGTTCTCATATGAAGAATTTGTGATTGTGAGAATTAAATTAGCACACAAGAACATATGATATGGCTAAGTTGAAATCAGTGTCAGAAAGCACGGGTTTTCTAGTGTCACCTACCAGATAATTATAGGCCAAATCTGGATGTGAACTACGAGAAATATCTATCGTTTAGTCCCCAGTTGCTTGCTTTCTACATCAATAAGGAAAATAATTTTTGCTTCAATTTCTCTTTCTTGAGGGTTTACTATTAGCTACTGCAAACATGAAGTGACAATCATCTATTTTGATTTTCTCTACGTGACTTTTCATTGCTCCCTATTGTTCATATTCAGATACATCACAGCTGAATCCCATTTTCCTTGCTCGATTACAAATTTTATCTTTTCTTATGTTTTTAAACATTGTGCATTGCTTGGTTTACTAAGGTTTAGTTAAACCCCTTTTTTCTATGCTATTCTCTAGGATATTATGGTGAGATACCATCGAATGAAGGGAAGACCAACATTATGGATTCCTGGGACAGATCATGCTGGGATTGCAACTCAGGTTTGACTCCAATTAAAAAGTCATGCCTCTAAGTCTGTAGTAGACTAGCTGTATAGTGTTCAATTTATTGACAAGATAGGATCTTTTTCATCTATATCAGAAAAAAATTATCCTATTCCACGAGGAGTTATAACTTGTCATGGCTTATTAATTTCTAGTTCATGAAATTCTCATTGATATGAAGTCCCAAATTGTGCTGTGCATAAATTTGTCTAAAGAGTCAAGGGGTTAGAGCTTGATATCTGGATTTTTTTTTTTTTTGTTTTAAATTAATGATCATTATTGACAGCTGGTTGTTGAGAAAATGCTTCAAAGTGAAGGAATGAAGAGGACTGAAATGGGAAGAGATGATTTCATTAACCGTGTATGGGAGTGGAAAGAAAAGTAAATTTCCTGTCTTATGCTACGTATGTTGTGAACCTTTTGTAGAGAAATTGTTCCATAGTTCTCTGTTACTCTTCTTTAACGAAGAATTCTGATGACGCTGGATGTTCATTTATCTATATATATGTCAGGCATGGTGCAAGAATCACAAATCAGATAAAAAGATTAGGAGCTTCTTGTGATTGGACCAGAGAGCACTTTACTCTTGACGAGCAGCTAAGTCGTAAGATAGATTTTGGACTGTAATTATTACTAAATGTATGATATTTACAAATCCTACAATCTCCTTAACTTCTTTGACCTTATGAATTTGAAGGAGCTGTGATAGAGGCTTTCATCAAGCTTCACGACAAAGGCTTAATCTATCAAGGTAGAAGCATCAGTTCTGTTTCATATGTAGCCTTGCTTGTAATGAACATGTTACGTTTCAATCATCTTTTGAGGATCTTTTTGGTTGGCCTAATTTTTCTGGTGAAATTCCTTTACTCCAAAGGTTGTTGTTCATTGTCAATAATTCAATGCTGAATGCATTTGTTAATAGAAAATCAAACCATGCCTTTAGACTCTTGATCTGGTGATTCTTTTGTACACTTCGAGGGTTGAAGTATGCTTATTGTTTTCCTTTCAAGATGGGCTTGCATTCCGCTTAAGAAGTTTCAATAGTCTTTATGTAAGGCAGGTAGAGATGATTCAGTTGGTTTTATCGGAATCAGATTCTTATTTTTTTATAATCTGAATATGGAACAGAAGGGGATGTTTGCTGTCTAGAGGACTGTGTTTCTTCTTTTACATTGCTTCTATTCCCACTTTTTGTGTTTGAGTCGATTGAGAGCCTCGCTATAAGTTCCTATACAGTTTTTTTCCTTTTTTATAAAGTTTATGGGTACTAGTAGTTGAAAGATTGGTCCTTTCTTTCAGGTTCTTACCTGGTCAACTGGTCCCCTAATTTACAGACTGCAGTTTCTGACTTGGTAAGCTTCAATTAGTCACAACTGGAATTCTCCCTGATTTTTTTTTAGGTAGAATTCTCCCTGATTTCTGGACCTATATAAACTTTCCTTTTTGTGGTCAGGAAGTTGAATATTCTGAAGAACCTGGTACTCTATATCACATCAACTATCGTGTGGCTGGAGGTACAAGGTAGATTTGACTTCTTCCGAGTTCTTGACTCTTTGTTCATATTTACATTTGCTTGCTATTGCAGTTGGTTTTGAAGCTTAAGTGGTCTTTCTTTCAGTAGTGTCTCCTTTACGGTTTGTTTTAAAAGTTCCTTTGGGAAGGAATAAAGATACGATGTGATCAATTTATGAAATCCAGATGACTTAGAAGTTAGAATTAAATGATAATTTATTGGGAACCATTTATATTTCCGAATTTTTGGATACCGATAAATGCCATTCTATTGTTCGAGCTGTCATGTTTGAAACTCCCTTACTAGTTTCAAGGCACCGTATTTCCTGATCGTTGATGGCTACTTGATAGAATCTTGCAGCGTTTTCTGTTACTTTCTTGATAGGGGATTGTCTATCTTTGACCAAACATTTTTTTTTTTGACAACACAAGTATTACCATTTTTTTATGTTCTGATGTATTGATGATCCCTTTTCTTTCTAGGAGTGACTTCTTAACAATAGCAACAACTCGCCCGGAGACTTTATTTGGGGATGTCGCTATTGCTGTGAATCCAGATGTAGGTGATTTTGCAAGTTTAATTATATAATTTTTAATTTCAAATTGGCGTGGAGAAATGCGTATGCTTATTTCATCTAAAATGAAAGTAAAGAATTTCATGTGTTTAGTTCTGTAAATAAAGGAACAGGCTCCTAGAATTCAGGTAGTGTAGTGATGCCAAAACTTTGCCTTTGATTCATGACATCAATATCCTTTGCATGCAACATATTTAGATATTGCTCAATATTGTCCATGATGTTTAATGAAATTTTCTTTCATTGGTTACTTTTAAGCAAGTTAAAATAAAACCATTGCTGTCTGTGAAATTTGCAGGATGATCGCTATACTAAATATATTGGAAAAATGGCAATCGTACCTATGACATATGGTCGCCACGTACCTATAATCTCTGATAAGGTGATATATCCTATTTATTATTTCTTCCTATTCAGTTCTAGCTTATGCTATGTCCTATGGTAATTCGCGTTGGAGGACAAAGTTAGACGAGGTGGTAATTTAATTAAATGTCAAATTCTTCAAAGCCGAGCTGACCAAGTTATAGGAAAAAGTGAAGATGATACACATTATCCTTTCAGTGTTTTAGGTGCATGGGGAAAGTCTGCTCCATGTTTATCCATCTACTGAAACAGTGATCTTTCACTTCTTAGACTTAGGAGATGCTTTTATGCTGTTGTGTCTCAAAGGTTCAACTGACCATAAAGGAAACCACCAATACTTCATGATGATCTTGATGCTGACTGGATATCCTAAATCTTGCCTCTGTTTCTTTCGATGAAACATATGACCACCTTTCTGGTGACACAAAATTGAAATAATTGAGAAAACAAAGAAGCTCTCTGCGGACGGACTTGATATATTCTCTTTATACCTCTTACAATTTCCCTCAGCTGATTGGTCACATGAAGTTCCGATTTTTTTACTATTTACTTACAAAATTATTTTTGTGTGGGGTTCATTGATGGGAAGCCTTAGAGTATAAGTCTCTATACAATCCTTGTCGAGGCATATTCATGTCTAAGTTCTCTAGGTTTTATTCTCTTTCTTCCAGAGCCATACCATTTGTGGACTTTCCCCTATCTGTCTTGTTCCAAGTGATGCCTGGTTATGGCTTTCATGATAAGAAATATATCTTTTGTGCAATGTGCTGCTTTTTGAGAGGAACAGTGATTCCCCTGTCGTACGTGCTAAAACACCACATTGTGCAATCTATTGCTCATCCAGAAAGCTACATAAGGAACTATTACGTATGGTGGTGGATATCTTGTTTATTGCTTATGAAACTAAGACAGTTCATTTTGGCAGTATGTTGATAAGGAATTCGGAACTGGCGTGCTGAAGATAAGCCCAGGGCACGATCATAATGATTATATTCTTGCTCGTAAGCTTGGTCTCCCAATACTTAATGTGATGAATAAGGATGGGACTCTTAATGATGTTGCTGGACTGTACTGGTAGACTTTCTAAACATTTTTCTTCAATTGGTTTGCTTGGTGGTATTATGTCTGTATAAATGTGTTAGCTGACAAATTCTTATCAATGAATTGACTGTTGGAATGTTAGTGGTCTTGATCGATTTGAAGTACGAAAGCAACTGTGGGCGGATCTTGAGGAGACGGGCTTAGCTGTGAAAAAGGAGCCACATACCCTACGAGTTCCCCGATCACAGCGTGGAGGAGAGGTGAGTAGACATATGCCCTTCACGGTTTTTGAATATAAGGATTCTCTTTCACTGAGAATTTGTTATCACGTTATTTTTTCTTTTATTGTGTTACTAGATAATAGAACCATTGGTGAGTAAGCAGTGGTTTGTGAATATGGAATCCCTAGCTGAAAAGGCCCTTCATGCAGTTCACAAAGGAGAAATAACCATAATGCCTGAAAGATTTGAGAAGGTATGTGATGTTTGAAATAACTTCTGCTCATATCTTCTACCTCTGACACTCAAAGCTTATCATTAAAGCCTTCTATCTTCATGGTTGTTGATGATTTCTGTGCATCTTTTTGCTAAAATTGTCTTTGAAGCTGTTGTGTGCCTCTTCCACTGAGTGATAAATGTGCCTTATCCTGTGGATTCTTTGTACACTTCTTGCCTTTGTTACACTCATGCGAACTATGCAAGCTCTTAATACCCTAATGTCTGGCTTATATCAAATCCTGTGTACTTTGCTGCTAGGCACATTCGTATCATGATGCTTACTGTCTAGTTTTTTCTTCTCCTGCTGTTCCAGATTTATAATCATTGGCTATCAAACATCAAGGATTGGTGCATAAGTAGACAGCTTTGGTGGGGGCACCGGATACCTGTTTGGTACATTGAAGGGAGAAGTGGTGAAGAAGACTATATAGTTGCTCGTAATGAAGTTGAAGCCCTAGAGAAAGCTCATGAAAAATATGGAGAAGGTGTGGAAATATATCAAGATCCAGATGTTCTTGACACATGGTTTTCAAGGTATGTGATCTCAAGTTGTCATCTGTGCTTTGTTTGTGATGCTGGAATCTAAACATTAAGTGTGCAATTGGAACATTGCTCACCCGTTTGGTTTTCGCATGCAATTCTCAGTAATAGCAAATGATCTATCAGAATGTAAGCCAAGTAACTGAATTTTGATTTGCCCATGTCAACCAAGAGACTTGAACTTCCCCGGTTCCACCTAGCTGAATCCAGCTGTTGGTTCATGCACTTTGGGATATTTGTTTACTCAATGAAAAAGCAAGTGAAGTAGGTTTTAATTAACATATACTGGCCTTTAAAACCTCTAACTTATCATGTGCTACTAAATAGGGATGCTTTATTGTATGACATAATATCATCTTTGGTACAAGTCATCCTTCTGAGGCAGAGTGAAGAAGAAAACTTTCTTAAAGTGAGGGTTGTAATATGTTCTTCAGTAGTGCATGTTCCTCATTTTCTATAATCATAAAGAATTATTGTATTCGACCCTCACATTTCTCCTGGATATCTTTTTATTGGATGCTCTGTCTTTATAGGGGAGTTGCCAAGTTGGATTAGCTATGTACCATACCCTAGCAAATGGGTTCAATTGCTTAGTATTGAGCATAAAATCTGGCACAAACGGGTTGATGCCTAATACTTTTACCCTCTGCCTGCAGTGCTCTTTGGCCCTTTAGCACTCTTGGATGGCCCAATGAGTCATCGGAAGATTTTAAGAGGTTTTATCCAACTACAATGCTTGAAACTGGGTATGTTTATGCTATTTCGTTAGCACCATTATTTTATGGTTATTTCCCTTGTTTTTTCTCTTCCGGTTAGATGCCTTAGTAATGGTTTCACACACAATGTATAATCTAGCATACTGATGTCAATATATCTGGGTTTGTTATAAAATTTTTGGTAGTTCTTAGTTCTTACAGGGGATTGACTAGTTAATTGGGTTAGTATTAACCTGAATCCTTAAATATTAATGTTGTTACCGTCTTCGTTAAACAGGCATGATATTTTGTTCTTCTGGGTGGCAAGGATGGTCATGATGGGAATTGAGCTTACGGGGAAAGTTCCATTTTCAAATATTTATCTTCATGGACTTATTCGGGATGCACAAGTGAGTAGAGCTTGTTTACTTGGCTGTTGACTCTTTCAGTATACTCAACTTCTACTTTTCTATTTCAGGGGCGGAAAATGTCTAAAACGTTAGGGAATGTAATAGATCCTCTGGATACAATCAAGGAGTATGGTACCGATGCTTTGCGATTCACTCTTGCGCTGGGAACCGCTGGCCAGGTTCTGTTGCCTTATATAACCTTTAGTTGCTGAATCTAACTGCAGGGTTTTGGATTAGGAAGATGGATATTGTGATGCAATCAATCTGCCTCATTTTGTATATATATTAGTCTTACCATGCGGGGTGTTTACGTTTTCATCCAGGATCTTAATTTATCTATGGAAAGGTTGACTGCTAATAAAGCATTCACTAACAAACTATGGAATGCGGGAAAGTTTGTGTTACAAAACTTACCTAGTCAAACTGATGTATCAGCTTGGGAAGCTATACTAGCTCATAAGGTTCGTTGATATATTTTTGCTTTGGAGAATACAACACCTTTCTCCTAAAATGCAAAATAATTGGTTTCTGTAAACTAAAGCTCCCTGATGCAATTTTCAGTTTGGTGCAGAAGAGTCGCTTCTCAGGCTACCTTTACCTGAACGTTGGGTGGTAAGCAATTCAACTTTCATTGATTTGTATTGCTGCAGCTCTTCAGAATCTTTCAAAAAGCTAATTGAACTTTTAGGTCTCAGAACTTCATGTGCTCACTGACACGGTCACTGCAAGCTATGACAAATATTTCTTTGGAGATGTTGGAAGAGAAGTCTATGATTTCTTTTGGAGCGATTTCGCTGATTGGTATGTAGGATCCATCTCTGTCTCGGAACTTGTGTACATTCTGTATATACTCACAGGCATGGTTGCTTTGGGTTTGTGCTCTGACCTTTACAGAGACCATCTATTGCTATTTCCTTTCCTTTTCCTTTTGTTCCTTGCACTACTCTTTTCTGCATCTCAGAAGGAAAACTAGTTAGGCCTAGATGAGACATGGGAGTCTGGAGTACCATTAGAGAGAAGGTTGTAAGTTGACTTTCAGAACTAGGGAGGTACTTGTTAGGCATCAGCTCATGGTCTTGTACCAAAATGCGGCAATATGAAATAGTATGCTCAAATCAGCATGGTCTTATACCCTCCTAGTTCTACTTTTATTTCCTTTCCTTTTCCTTTTCCTTTCTTGTTCCTTGCGCTACTCTCTACTCTTGACTGCAGCACATAGGGAAAATTAGTAAGGTCTAGACGAGACTTGGGAGTCTGGAGTAACCATTAGAGAGAAGGCTGTAAGTTGACTTTCAGAAGTAGGAGGTACTTGTTAGGCATCATAAATCATGGTCTTATACCAAAATATAGCAATGTGAAATAGTATGCTCAAATTGGCAGGTTCTTAAGATAGTCAATAGGGTGCAAACCAACTAACCATGCCTGTGATTTGCCAATCATAAACCAACATATTTGGGATGCCCAGCATAATCTCTTCTTTGAGAAAATTTCATAGCTTTGATGTTGACAGCTGGCTAACCCTTGCACCAGGTATATCGAAGCCAGTAAAGCTCGCTTATATCAGTCAGGAGGGAATTCAACTGCGTCTCTGGCACAAGCTGTTCTATTATATGTCTTTGAAAATATATTGAAGCTGCTGCATCCTTTTATGCCGTTTGTAACCGAAGAGCTTTGGCAGGTAGTGAGTTCTAAACTAAATCATGAATCTGGTACAGCTCATTCCACGCTTCCATAAACAAGAAAACGTTAATTATATTTGGCTTTTTCCATAATAAAAGTAGCTCTGACTTATGGAGAAGGAACAGTAAACCGAGGTTTCATTTCTGTGAACTATTATTGAAAGTTGTGGTACTTTACAAAAATGGAACTAAGCAATTATTCTGTCTGTTTCCTGGGCTCTCGATTCTTTTCATGACGGCGAAACATGTAAACATTGCTTCCTTAGTTCTAGTTTGGGTTAAAGCATTTCAATTAATATTTGCTGGTTTGATTTTTGTCACAGGCTCTCCCTAATCGGAAAGAAGCTCTCATAATTTCTTCATGGCCCCAGACTTCCCTTCCAAGACATGCCAACTCAATAAGGCAATTTGAGAACTTCCAAGCTTTAGTGAGTCTGGCAGTCTTGTTAACTGCATACCTTCATTAGTCCTATTTCTACATTATCTGGATGGTTTTATTATTTCCAAAGCGTTATTAATCAGATTCAATGAATGCCTTAGACTAGAGCAATCCGAAATGCTCGAGCAGAATATTCCGTGGAGCCAGCCAAGCGTATTTCGGCATGGATAGTTGCCAACAAAGATGTCGTCCAGTATATCTCTGTAAGTATCCCTATAATGTAGGCTCTTCTGCAAACTTGAGTTACCTGCATCTTGGGACCGGACTAGTAGCTTGGCTTAATTGCTCAGCTTCATTTTAAATCTTCACGTTTCATTCAGTTAATAATGATCTTTTGCTTCCTCAGTTGGTGATGAATATCACTTTTGAACTTGTTGCAGAACGAGAAGGAAGTGTTGGCTCTTCTATCCCGGCTCGATACAGAAAATGTCCATTTCGCTACTTCTCCTCCAGGGGAGGCAAACAAGTGCGTACACCTTGTTGCAAGCGAAGGACTGGAAGCTTATCTCCCACTTGCTGACATGGTCGATATATCTGCCGAAGTGGACCGCCTTTCGAAGCGCCTTGCCAAGATGCAGACGGAATACGAGGGCCTCGTGGCTCGCCTCGGTTCTCCGAAATTCGTGGAGAAAGCTCCGGAGGATGTGGTACGCGGGGTCAGAGAGAAAGCAGCGGAGGCAGAAGAGAAGATCAACCTGACGAAGAAGCGGTTGGAGTTGCTGAGATCCTCTGCATTGGTATCACAATAGTGGAACAAATGTTGTTTATTACTACAATTAGTATTAGCACGAAATATATATTAGCAAGTTGATGCGAAGCAAAGCAGTCAGCGAAGGGTGGCTGGATGGCCAATTTAAGCTTGGGCGGCTAATCAAAAATATTTGGAGTCTCCTTCCTTACATTAGTCGCCGGGAATGGATTATGGTTATGGATATAGGTAGCCACCATTGACCGCATGTGCTTAAAATTAGAATATATTTTCAATGGAATGCGTTAGGGTGGCAACTTGATAGAAACCTATTTCTAGGATTCTATCGATTGGTTGCTTGATTGGGGATTTAGGATTTTGGAGATAGAATTGGAGATGAGATTGAAAATTTAGGGAAGAAGAAGAAAAGAATAAGAATTGGCCTAAGTCTTGGATTAGGAAAGAAGAGAAATTAGGAGATAGAGAGATTTTAGGGTTTTGGAGAATAATTCTTTCATTAATTTCTGTTTAATGGAATGAGAGACCCAAAGTACATATTTATAGCTAAAGACCAGAAAAACTTAATAGACTTTCCTAACGTGACTCAAAGACTACTAAATAAATCCTAATAATAGTAACTATCATAATTATGATAGAACCCAAAAATTAGGTTTCTATCATCCCCTTGCCCTTGAGACCAACCTTGCCCTCAAGGTTGATCGACTCGACCTACTTCTCCACGTCGTCCATGCAAATCTCTCCTTGACTTCCCATTTCTTGCTCTTCCTTTTCTTCCAATCACGCTCCAACTCTTCACTTGGTCTTCTTGCATTGATCTCCCCGTGTTGGTCCATATCTTCCAATTTCATTACCATGAGCCCACTATTAACTTCTATGACAAGGTCAAACTCTAATGGCTCTCCTTTCGTTGGCATCATGCTCCAGGAACCTAATGATCCAAATGTACTTTCTCGTGCAAAAACACATCATTAAGTACCAACTCATCAAGACCTCCAAACTTCTTTCTTGAAGTTAGCCCAATCACTTACTTTGTTATTCCTCCCCTTATTAGTGGGTCATGTTCCTTTAAAAGCCCACCAGCTAAGCACAAACCCACCTTTCCTTTTCTCCATGTCAATCTTCAAACCATAGCCCACGTTGGGCTTAAGCCTTCTCTGCCAACACGACCCACTCTCTTCTATTTTCGGCCCAAGATCATACAAAAGAGACTTTATGAGACAGCCCAGCAGAGGCCCACAACCTGCCTGAAAATTCGTCCCGTTAGGGGTGGGCGTTCGGTCGGTTCGGTTTGAACCGAACCGAACTAGTATATGCCGATTTTCCGAAATTAGTAATACTCCAACCGAATTCGAACCGAGCTATATTTCGGTTCGGTTTGTCCGAACTGAAATATAACTTGGTTCGGTTCGGATTTTCCACCAAACCCGAATTTATGGAAGACTTCCCCTTTATCTCCCTCTCTCCCCAGTCCCCGCAGATTTATCCTTCCCATCTCTCTCTCTCTCTCGTCTCTCCATCTCCCCACTAACAATCCGTTCCCCAGATTTTCCCTCAATCAATCTCTCTCTCTCTCTCTCATCTCTCCTCTATATCCGCAAAATCTACTCCCCTGATTTCTCTCGATCAATCTCTCCCATCTATCTCCCACTAAGAATATGCTCCCCAGATCAATCCTTCCCTCAATCTTTCTCTCTCTCTACTCCGGCCGCAAACTCGGCGGCAACAACGATTTACTGAGTGAACAAGGCAGCTGCAACGACAACAACGATGGCTATTGATGCAGTGAACAACGCGGCGCGGCAGCGGTAGACGGCGATGAAGATCCTTGCACCTCCCTCAATCTACCTTCTCTTCCTCTCGATCTATTCCTTTTCTATTTTGATGCATGTGGGTTTTTATGTTTTATTTTCGATCTTTGACAGGTACTGGGTGAGGAGAAGAGAATGGGAAGGAGTGTTTGGTGGAGTGAGGGAGTGGACAGCGGCGGGTAGGGGGCGGCGGCGGGAAGAAGGGCGGTGGTGGGATGTGGAGCGGCGACGGTAGAATGACACCGGTGACCTCTCAATTAGAAGCAGCAGGGGAAGACGAGATTCGACGGGGGCGAGAGATGAGAGGAGGATTCAGCGGCGCTAGTGAATTGCATTGCCTTCTTTTCTGTTAGGGTTAGGTTAGCAGTAGCATTTAGCAACAGACATGGATAGGAGTTCCGGGCTGAAAGGGGTTTAATTTTGGGCTGTGTTTGATGCGGGCCATGAGAGATTTGGGCTTTGTGTGAGGCTTGAGTAGTAAATTGGGTTGTAGGTTATGGGTTGAACTATTTATTCGGTTTTTCGGTTCGGTTGTTCGAAATTCGGTTCGGTCGTGCGTACCCTGGTTTCCGAAATATGAGGTTTTGCCTTCCGAATTCCGAACCGAATAACAATAGATCGGTTTCGGTTTGGTTTAGTTCAGTTTTGGTCCAGTTTGGTTCGGGTTTACCGAACCGGATGCCCAACCCTACGTCCCGTTGCTTCCTTTGGCCCAGCTTGCCTTTCTTTTGTTTGCCTCAAGACCCAATCTGCAAATCCCTTTGGCCTGAAACGAGCCCATCCACTCGGCCCAACTGAAAGGGTTGCTCCTGTTCTGCTCCTTGGTACAAAGAATCAGATGACTGCTGGGTTGAGTGAGGCAAAAGTGGCTCCCTAGGGTTATCGACAAGAGGAACCCAACCGCCACCATCTTCCTCCATCGTCTTCTTCTTCCTTGTCGCGCCGCCTTCTTCCCCATCCTTCGCCGGCAGAACCATCTCCGACTTTATTCTCGACGACGAGCGGCGCACCACCCGACACGAGTGCCAACCCGATTGCGGCCTAGTCTTCGAGTTCTTCTCCCCGAGCGCGCCGCCCACCCTCTTCGATTCCTCAACCGGCGGCAAGGAGAACACCAGACCGCGGGAAGCTAAACCCGACTCCCTCTCGTTCTCCGATGATGGCTCGTCTTCTGGAGGCTTCTTCTTCAACGACGACTGTAACTCACCCTCACTCGGGAGAGAGAGAAAGCCATCCTCCTCCTCTTTGTTCGCCGTCGAATCCTCCGAGGCTTTACCCGGCGGCTCCATCTTTGTCCCTATCTCCAAGGGCGATTTCGAAGCCACGATGCCCGACTCCCGCTCCGTCATCAGCACCGTCGTCGCGGCGGATAGGGAGGAGGCGTTCTTCATTCGCGACCGACGCTGCTGCTCGGACCAACGACGTCGGTGTCGCCGCCTCCTCCACTGCTTCAACAGCCGTAGCTTCCTCCTCCTCGGTCGTCGGCTCTTGCTCGTCGTCCTCCGGCGATGCAGCATCACTTGGTCGCCTCTCCTCCGCCATGTCAAGATCTCGTGCGGTCTCCTCCTCTCGTGGCGGCGGCTCACTCATTGCCTTCTCCTCCGCTCCTTCCAACCACGGTGACCCCTTTTCCTTGGTGGCGGTCGCCTCTTCCTTTCCTTCAGCCAACAAATCTTCTTTCCTCGTTGCGTCGGTCAGCGGCAGGATTATGGCAGCGGGTTCAGTGAGCTGTGTGTTTTCCGCTGCTGTTGGCAATGAAGATTTGTTCCTGGGAATTTCAACGGTGAGCAAGTCGTATCTCAACCAAACGTCAAATTCTTCGGCATCGAAATCCGACCTAATCTTGATCTTTGTCTCAAAACGCATCCACCGATTCTCATCCTCCAACGAACGTTTTCCACAGATTGTTATGATGCTCGAGGAATACCCCACATGTGCTCTCTTAAACCCAGGCTAACGGATGAACACTCGAATGAATGCTGAGGTTACCGATTTAGTAATCGTAGGTATGAATTCTTCATATACGTCCATCCCTGATTGAGAGTTGTGACGAACTCGCTATCGAACCGGGCTCTGATACCAGATGATAGAAACCTATTTCTAGGGTTCTACCGATTGGGTTGGGTGATTGGGGATTTAGGGTTTTGGAGATAGAATTGGGGATGGGATTGAGAATTTAGGGAAGAAGAAGAAAAGATAAGAATCGGCCTAAGCCTTGGATTAGGGAAGAAGAGAAATTAGGAGATAGAGAGAGCTTAGGATTTGGGAGAATAATTCTTTCATTAACTTCTGCTTAATCGAATGAGAGACCCAAAGTACATATTTATAGCTAAAGACCAGAAAAACCTAATATACTTTCCTAACGTGACTCAAATACTACTAAATAAATTCTAATAATAGTAATTATCATAATTATGATAGAACCCGAAAATTAGGTTTCTAGCACAACTAGAATTCTAGTAGCTACCATGCCTACTTTAGTATCCTCCGTCCATTTTTCTATTTTTTTCATTCTTTTAATCTCACAGTTAAAATTGATTCAGGTAATTTTGGAAATAAATAAAAAATCACACCTGATTATTCTATATATTATACATAAACCCTAATTCTACCTCCTTTCTTCCGCCAAACCCTACTCAATTCTATCCTCCGGCCGCCTCCACCACTACCGTAGCGGTAGTCTCGTCGGCCGCCTCCACAAGCCGTGATGAACGTCTGCAATAGCCGCGACACCCGCCTCCACGTCCTAAATACCTCTCCATTCGTTGTTGCCCAACCGCGAATTAGGTGGCTCAGTTCCACATCATCATTCGAGAGAGAGATAGAGAGGGATGTAGAGAGAGAGAGTGCCATGGGTCAGTGTATATATATATATATATATATATGGTGCCGTATTCGGTGCACCCACTTTTTCGGCTGCACTCAGTGCACCCGCCTCATAATTGTCATTCTGACCATGCGATTCATGTCAAAACGGTATCAATTGTTGCTTATGATATTATGAACAAGAAGCACGTGAATTTGAAAAAATTTCATTCAAAATTTACTTTAATTCAAAGGATTTAGGATTTAGGGTTAGGATTTAGGTTTACTATTTGGGATTTTGGGTTGGGATTCAAAATTGAATGTGAAGGGGTTAGGGCAATGGATTGATTTGTTATGATGCTATGTCATATCATCATATTATATTGAGAGTACTAATTAAAGTTCAAAATTTGATGTATTATGGACGCTTTTAGAGTTGGGTGCACTGAGTGCATTCAGTGCACCCACTTTTTTGAGTGCATTCAGTGCACTCGCTTCATAACCGTCATTTTAAACATGCGATTTATGTCAAAATGATGTCAATCATTACTTGTGACATGATAGACATGGACCCCATGAATTTACAAAAGAAATCATTAAATATATACTTTGATTTGAAGGATTTAAGATTTAGGGATTTAGGGTTAGGGTTAGAGTTCACATTTTGGGATTTTGGGTTGGTGTTCAAAATTGAAGGTTTAGGGGTTAAGATAATTGATTGATTAGTTGTAATCATTTATTATATCACATTCCATCAAAACAGATACACACCAATACCAATGTAAACAATACCAATAAAACATAGCATCACTATCAAAACAATAAGCTACCAGAATACCATTCCTATCCTTAGTAGACACGGTAGTAATCACCGTAACCGGTATGATACGACACGATTATATTTCGTATCATCGTGATACGATCGGGTTTTGTAGGTTTTGTACGTAGGGGGGTTTTGCACACTATACTCACTCATTTAATAATAATGAATAATATCATGAATACGCTTAATTAATTGATATAATTAGCAGACGACAACCAATTTTTTTTTTCCTTTTTAATTTTGGATATTCTTCTCCGTTGCTCAACACTTGAAAGGAGTAGTTGATTTTCTGAAGACTCGCATAATCTTGGCTACGTTAGTGTTGAACACAGTACTGAAGAAGAGTAAACGGCGTCTGGTTTTCCAGTCAACCAACAGTTTATGCACGGATAAATTCCACCAGTCCTAAGCCGCCGACTAGGAGAGTTGGACTTTTCCTCCTTTTTTGCTTTTTTTTATATGTATAAATTATTTTCTTATAAACTAGCAATAACATATGAGAGCAATAAATAAATCACAGGGTAAATTGTAAGGCGTTTCATTAAAAATATTTTATTCATCACTAACTTATACTTTTGTTCCATCAATGCATAAAAATTATATATACATTAGTTAAGATCTATGCAATGATATCTATTTTGTTATTTTATAGAATAAAAAGTTCTTCAAAACACGTATTGGTGTCATGGCATTATAACTATTATATAGTGATAATATTATTATGTGACACAACGGCGGATCCAGAACACAAAAGAGCACTGGGCCGAGTTTCATTAGAAAATTGAATAGTAAAAAAACATAATGATTATAGTTTTTTTCCAATGTAAATTGTACACGACGGTATTTTAATTTAGTGATGCATCAATAATGGAGCCTACATCCATACCAATAGTATCGCTGTTTCAAATAAAATACTTGAGCAATCGGCAAGAAATTAATCGCTCATTTTGTTGAGCAAATCAGTTCTCACATATTTCATTGTTGAAAAGGTTCTCTTCGTAGTAGCTGTTGAAACGAGCATCATTAACACTAGACAAATCAATCGACTAATAAATTGGCATTGTGTGTCAATCCCTGCATCCACCAACTGCTCTAGTAAGTTTTCAAGGGAACAAACCTCATATTTCTTTTAATCTTTTACGTTTTAAACTTTTAGAATTTTAGGTTAAATTTTGTTTTATATGCATAATCTTTGGGGCTAAAATTTAAAGGCTAAATTTAGAGTAGTGATTTGAATATGGTCATCTGAATCATTTTTCTAGTTATACCCAATTTTATTATAAAATCACACTAAGCCGAATGCCTAAAATCGAAAAATTCATAAGGACTATACTAACTACGGATCCAGAGGAGGGCTGGGCCGGGGCCCGGGGTGGCCACCCCCTGGATCCGCCACTGATGTGACATTGATATGATGTCAGCAATTAATTTGTCAAATATAAGACATCATCGCACTATCATATATTATATTATCGTTATACCTAGACATGGCAATAGGTAGAATCATTGGGTTATTTGACCCAAATGTCATGACCCATATGGGTAGTGGGTCGGACCCATATGCACTTTTATTGATTTTGAGTTTGGGTTGAGTTTGAATTGGGTCTTATTTGGGTTACACCGAAATGGTCTATAGGGTCTAGATGATTATATACACAAAAACAATATCAAACTATTTCATTAAATACTTTCAATCCAATTGCACACTTTTAATGTATGTGTTTTCACCTTTCAATTTTATTAGTAACAAAAAATAAGACATAAATTGCATTATAACTGGATACCCTTTTTCTTTTTGGACTTTCAATACTATGGGTCCAATTGACACCCAAACTAAACAATTGGGTATGGATAGCCCATTATAAGTTAGGTTTGGGTAATACCCAAACTTTAAGACCCATTTGCCATCCCTAATTATACCATAGTGATAGTAATGGCATCAAATTATTTGTCAAACATAACACCTCATACCAAGTTACCAACATCATATCACTATCGTACCAATATCATATCAACATCATACTGCTATGATATTATATACCATTGTTAGTGTAATATCATGACATCACAGTTGATGGTCTCAAAAAAATATCAAAATGGATATCTTGTAGAGCACAAAAAAATGATATTTTTACGCAAAATATTTTGAAATTTGATTTAAAACAAATGAACTATATAGTCCATTGAATTTTCGGAGAAGATTAGAAAAGTACATTGACAACGCGCACGTTGGAATTCCCCCGCTGCCTCAAAAATTTGTTCAGCTGTCCAAAAAATCATGTAAGCTCTCTCCTAAATCTCTCATTTCCCTCCTTGCCCCTTTATGATATGGATCATTAGATCTCTCTTTCCCAAATTACAACCATTAGATTGGGGTTTGTAGAACTACAAAAAGGAAGAGTTTTGTACATGAACTTAATTTAGGGACGACAAGGATCGTGTCGGGGCTGGATAGGACATATCCATTATTCTTACCCAAAGTAGTTCAGGTTTTATCCATACCCATACCTACATAAGAATTGGGTAGAAAATTAGAACCAAGTCCATAACCCATTTGGGTTTCGAGTATTCATGGTTATCCATGTATAGTAATTTTTCTTCATAATTTTAACAAACATGTTAACGATTACACTTATATTGACATTACATCAGTGAAAGTACAACAATAAATTACTAGTTAGAAGAAAATCATTTGAAGAGAACACAATTTCATGAAAATATTTTATATGTATAGAAAATATCAAATATGCTGACAAAAACAAAGAGCATTTCTGTATAAAATACACCTGCATACATACGTACAATCGGACGGGTTCCCGTTGGATAATGAGAGATTCATGTCAACCCATTTTCTGTAATATTCGAATTCGAGTTAAATCCATGACTGTCGAAAAATTTTCGAATTTAAATCCGATTTTTACCCTACCCGATTAGATAGAATTTCTTTCCATACCCACAGGTATAAGTATTTTTGTCATCCTGAACCAATTCTAAAAAGGATATCCTATTTTATTATCATTTTGAGTAGTCCTTCCTTTGCTACGTATAGACAATCTCACCAACCAACCAGGAAAGCAAGTTTGATGGCTATGCAAAAATGATCACCCGCCAAAGATGACCATTTCATTAGTTAACTATCCATCACGACTCCTGATTCCGTCCAAACTCTCACACCAAGGAATCATCCCACTCCCCACCCAACGGCATAATCGTATTCATAAATCATATGCGCGCATTCCTTCCTCTCTTCAATTTTGTCATTTTGTGTTCTACTCGCATTTCCTTGTCAAATTTAATACTCGAAACAAACAAATGTGAACTGTTCCTCCCGGCCTTTATAAACCTCAAAACCCCAATCTTCCCCACAAATCAAATAAACAGAGAACAGAACAGAGTACCAACACAAAAGCAAACCAGCCATGGCTTCCTCTTCCTTCTCCGCCACCGCAACCATTTCTTCTTCCCATCACCAATCCCAATCCCTTCTCTTCAACAAGCCCTTCACCCACAATTCCTTCATCTTCAACAAGAAATCCCCATCCCTCCGACGACATCTCAAACTCCGCGCCTCCCCCTCCGTCGCTCCCGTCGACCAAACCGCCGCAGCTCTCCCTCTCCCGCTCCCGGACTTCGACTTCAACGACTACATGTTGACCAAGGCCGACCGGGTCAACGCCGCCCTCGACCAATCCATCCCGCTCGCCCACCCCATCAAAATCCACGAGGCCATGCGCTACTCCCTCCTCGCCGGCGGCAAGCGCGTCCGCCCCGTCCTCTGCCTCGCCGCCTGCGAGATGGTCGGCGGCGACGACTCCCTCGCCCTCCCCATGGCCTGCGCCACCGAGATGATCCACACCATGTCCCTCATCCACGACGACCTCCCCTGCATGGACAACGACGACCTCCGCCGCGGCCTCCCCACCAACCACAAGAAGTACGGCGAGGACACCGCCATCCTCGCCGGCGACGCCCTCCTCTCCTTCTCCTTCGAGCACGTCGCCGTCCGCACCCCGAAGACCGTGTCCTCCGACCGCGTCGTCCGCGCCATCGCCGAGCTCGGGTCCGCGGTCGGGTCGGCCGGCCTCGTGGCCGGCCAGATCGTCGACATCGCCAGCGAGGGCGACGAGGACGTGACGCTCGAGGTGAGCGGGCCGCATAAAATAAATAAATAAACGTCACTTAATCGAGTGTCACTTGATTGATTTCTTTGGTAACATTTTTTTTTTTACAATTGTCCGTACCACTTTTTTTTTTTTTGTGTGACATTTATTTTGAACACTTATAATTAATCCTACTAGGATCTGGAGTACATACACATCCACAAGACGGCGAGGTTGTTGGAGGCGGCCGTGGTTTGCGGCGCGATTCTCGGAGGCGCGGATGACGAGAGCGTGGAGAGGGCGCGTAGGTACTCGCGGTGCGTGGGGCTGTTGTTTCAGGTGGTGGACGATATCTTGGACGTGACGAAGTCGTCGGAGGAGTTGGGGAAGACGGCGGGGAAGGATCTGGCGAGTGATAAGGCGACGTATCCGAAGCTGTTGGGGCTGGAGGGTGCGAGGAGGTTTGCGGCGGAGCTGGTCGATCGGGCCAACGGGGAGTTGGCCGGGTTTGATCCGGCGAAGGCGGCTCCTCTCTATCATTTTGCTAATTACATTGCTACCAGACAGAATTAGTTGATTAATTAATTAATACAGAGAGTTCTTGTTTTTCGTTAATCTGTCGACTGATCGATGCGATCATTTTTCTTTTTAATTACGGATGGACTAGCTTTAATTTGTTTTTTTTATTTTTTGTTCTTTTGGTATGTTGTATACTCCGACATGAGTTTTGGCTGTTTTCATAATTAGATGACAGAGATAATGTACTATTTCGTGAGAATAAACTGTTGATAGATTGCCAAATATTTTAATTTTTTATTAATAAATTTAATGTAATAAAAACTACTCAAATTTTACTATATTACATAGTTTTGCATTTTACATGCGTTCACACTACCATATGTCCATTGAGTTTTATTATTTAGAGAACAAATTAATTGAAGTTTGGACCATAATACTATACCCTAACATTTAATGGCTGAATCCCGGTCTCTAATTCTCTAACCCAGACCACAAGATAATTTAATCTAAAATAATAATAATCAATGGTTATGCTTCAGTAAAATATATTAAAGTGCAAATAACAAGTGTGATTACAGACGCACAACAATGTACGCTAATATTTTAGTATGCTTCAAGTCCCCGGAGCAAACTTAATTGGTTTTTCGTGAGTTTTTGCTAGGTTTACACTTGGTTTGTTGTTTAAAAGACATATCTCTAGGCTAGTATTTGGGTGGTAAATTTCCAACTTCTTTTTCATAATTCGTATATAAGATTAGATATCCATAAGCTTTTTATCAGATAAAATATGTATATATGAAATACGCAAAATCAAACTCCTCTTCAGCTAATGACGAACTATAATAATTCTATGAACTTCTATTCTATATCCCTATACAAATATACGCCTAGTTTTGATCGTTCTCTGTCGATGACTTTGATCGAATCCTCTCTTTTGCCTTGATTACCTGAAAGGAAACGCAACAACCCACAAAGATTTTAACAACTTCACTTCATTCAATGTCTCAATCTGATTAACTAATTCCCAACATAGTTAACCATTATTATTATTATTATGTTGCATTAAAAAGGGTGAGCTAAAAAGCGTCTTACACGACGATCAATGATCTGCAATATATTTATGTTACAAAAATTGCGTCAAAGAACCATCCATAAGTTCATATTAATCATTAGATTTAAAAATAACCAATAATTAGAATGCATTACATTTTACTATTACACTCCTCGAATGATTTGGATTTATTTTAAAAGACTGTACAATCCAGATGATCCACTAAATACCATAATGTATTATTGCTCCTATATTCGTATTCATAGAGCACTTCTACTATGCTATAAAGCATTGGTGCTTTAATGTATAATTTGAAGTTGTACCATAACGTTAAATGTATAAATTCAGGTTCTACCAAAAAAGTACCATAAAAAAATTTGTACAAAAGAGTATAAGTATGAAATTATAACATAACGATTAAAGATAGAACTTCAAATAAATTGTACCATAAAAACAAAAACCAATAATACTAATGTAAAATTTCTCACGTTACTTTCCCACTGAATTAGGGAAAGTAGAATTAGGGCAAGTAGAAGAACTAACCTGTTTTTCCCAGTCCAAGCAAGCCGTGAATATAGAGAGAGATGCGGCCTGTACAAGGGAGCCAGCTACAATTCCAACCCAAAGGCCTTTCCCTTTCAAATGGGCCACAAAGCCCAAAACGCACCCTAATGGAAGCCCAAGCAAATAAAAGGATCCAAGATTTATGTAAGCCCCGACGTGCTGCCATCCACATCCTCTTGCGACCCCTGGCCCATCAAAAAATAACACACAAACAAAGCCCATTAACAGTTAAATGTTACTCGAAGTCGACACACACTAATCAAATGTACTACTGTTTCGTTTGGGTCTATGGTCCCATTTAGAAAGGAAGGTTCACAAAGAAATAAATTTTAGTTTGACTAAATTTTGGTAATGATGTATGGAGTACGAACCAGAAAGGATGGCCTGAAAACTGTCGGTGAAAATCGAGAGACAAAGGAGAGGGATCATGGTGGCGACATAGTGAACAACGTGGACGTCCCTGCTGAAAGCATACCCAACAAATCGTCTACAGAAGAAGAGGACAGCGATCACTGTGACGCTCTCTGTGAACGCGAGAAACGTTGCCACGACAACTGCCATCCTAGCCAATTGCGGCCTCCCACCTCCCAGCTCGTTTGACACCCGAGTGCTACAGAAAAATATTCCAATTGCTCGTAATTGTTAGCTTATTAACACACTTTTGGATACAATTTCATGTGCTCGAGAATGCGGGTTATCAAAGTTAAAATTTGAAGTCTATTGTTTCAAAAGAATTGGAGAGATGATTGTTGAGATAGAAAGAATCAAAACCTTACGGCAGCTCCCAGTCCATAGGGCACAGTGAAGTGTAGCGTGGAGATTGACAAACTGCAAGTTCATGTCCATCCAATCCAAGCATTAAAAAACAGGAAGTTTTCAATCATATTATTTTATAAGCCCTGTTGGGTTACCACTTGCGTACGTATAACCTCTTCCAAAAATTTGTAGAATCCGAAAAGAATTTTCCAAAATCATTGATTTTTTTTTTATGATTATATATATTATGAATTAAACCTCCCTCCTAATTTTAAATGGTTCAAAAAGTTCAAATACCCTTACCATATGGAAAGAACCGATGTCTCCAACTTGGGATTCGACAGTAACCCAGAAAGCAGAATCAGCAATTCCATTGACCACCATTTCAGACTGCACATAAAGACAACAATAATAAATACAAACCATTAACATTATAACTCCACAAGTAAAAAAGAAAATAAAAATCATAACAACAAGAAGAAGGTTTATTGACAATAGCAACCTTTTAGTTTGCTCCATCTATTCTCATATCTAACTACATTGTTTTCATATTTCTGATGATATCGACGAATTTCTTTTGTTTTCTTTTTATCTCTCATCATAAAAAAAATGTATATAATAAATTGGCTTTTCAATGTTTTTTTAATTTTTTGTAAAAAAGATGAATGTACAAGTATAAAAAGTATAGGCACAAACTAACTGAATATAATAGCAGAGGAGTATGTTTGGTAAGCAAAGCAAGATATCGGACTATAATGGACAATAACTTTATTTTCAATAGGGGTGGTCAATCGGCTATCGGTTAGTGGTTAACTGACTGGTTACAACCGAAACCGGCCGGTTATCTACTAACCAAAAACCAAAATAACCGAAAATCGGTCAGTATTCGGAGGGATGGGCGAGATGCTTTTGGTCTTGTGGGCAGCTCGGTTAACCAAAAATCGAGATAATCGAAGCCTTAACCCTTCTTTCGGTCAGTTGTCGGTAGGTGGTTCGGTTAACCGATAACCAACCATTCAATTTTCGGTTATAACCGAACCAACCGACCCTCCACCCCTAATTTTTATTACAACAATAGTAATAGAAAAAAAAATGTTATAGCCATATATAGGGAAATAAAACTCTAGATTAGCAAATAAAATGAAAGACATGGATTTTATTTTTACCAAACCATGAGGGCAGAGGAGATGCCAAGGCAGAAAAACTGCTTCACCCCACGAAACGCCTCTCCAGTCAAACGCCCCCGCGTTCTCTCGCACACTGGTGACAACCTAACGTAACAAGCCAGCAGCAACACGTTAAGCCAAGTGGAGAAGCTGATCGCCATGGCGGCTCCAACGTACCCAATCCCCAGCTTGTAAACGAGCGTCCAGCAAGCAACAACGTGGAAGCAGAGCACGAACGAGGAGCTGAGCAGCATGGGGAAGATGACGCTCTGCGTCTGGAGGAACCGGGTCGTGGGCTTCAGTATCGCCGCGCCGAACAAGCCCGGTATCAGCCACATCGAGAAATCGCGGGCCTGGTGGGCTATCTCCTTGTCCTGGCCCGCGAAGACGAGGAACCGGTCCATGAAAAACCAGAGGAAGCAGATCGGCGGGCAGAGGATCAGCAGGGTGATGATGGCGCTGTATGTGTACGTTCCCAGCTTCTTGTATTCCTTTGCTCCGTATGCTTGCCCGCATAGCGTTTCCAATCCCCCAACCATTCCTGACTGCAAGTCAAGTCAGTTCTACGCGTATAAGCGCGCATTTTGGTGATCTAAAAGCGTAACTGCAGGTACAATTTTTAACGTTTTAAAGCGCGGGTGAAAACTCACGAGGAGGCTGAAGCCGGTGACGTTGGTGAGAGAAGTGGCAATGGCGACGCTGGAGAGCGGGAGGGTGCCGAGATGGCCTACGATTACTAGTGAGACGACCTGAAGAAGGTACTGAAGGACAGAGACGGCCACCATTGGAGCTGCGATGGATCTTTCCTTCTTCAATTCCGCCACCAACCCGTCTCTCGTAATCGCCCATTTTTCCGGCTCTGCTTCCCCTGCTCGACGGTCTTCCATTTTTGAATCCGAATAGTTAAGAGATTATTAATGTGACCTCTGTTTTCTTTTGCTGATGGAACTGGTTTTAACTAGGGGGAGAAAATGTGTGGACAGGGCAGGGTAAATCAATTTGCATTGTTTATAGTTTTTGACGTTATTATTGGGATACCTTAATTTCTGGTCTCTGGCTCCCCTGACTCTGTTTGACTGGATGGATGCAGGCTTGCTGATGGTTGTTTTGTTTGTTTGTTGCTGGTAGAAATGGATTAGGTGTCAAACTTGGTAGTTCATATGGTTTTCCATTTCACTTCTGCGTCAAATTAACCATTTTTTAATCAGAGATAGCAGCGTCTACATTAATGCTACATGAAAGGGTCGAGGAAATGATGAATTGGAAATCCTGTTGAAGTTTTGACAGATCGTTTTAATGTTTGTCGTCCTTTCTTATTGATATCATTGGTCAATGATTCATTGGATGCAAGGCCCGTCTGATATTTTGGAGACCTAAACAAAATTTGACTCTATTTTTCCTATTATATTTAGTAAAATATAAGTGAAGCATCAATCAATGAATAAAAATCATATTATTATTTGAAATACAGAGTGACAATGGTTTAAATAGTAAGATGTAATTAAAAAGTTGATTATTTGAGAGACTGAATAAAAATATCAAAATAATAACTAAATTGATAATGAATCAATTAACTAGACTCAAATGAGAATTTAGTTGAGTAGAAGATGAAAAATAATTTTATAAGAATCATATAGTATAAACAAGTAATAGAGAAAACTAAATTCGATAGGAGAACCTGCTAAATTCGATAGTATAAACTGCTATAGTTAAGTGTGGTACAAACTATTTATTATTGATTTTTCTTGTCTTTTCTTTCCTACTATCGGTGGCTTGTACCTAACTATTTTGGTTAGCGTTAAATAAATCAATGTAAATTATTTAATTAATTTAGCATTGTTGCCTTGCTAGTACAAGTAGATTAACTGACGAAATTGAATTATTTTCCCCCTTGGAAAGCTGAAAATGAAGAAAGTTAAAACAACAAATTTAATAATGCTAATAATGAGGCATCAACAAAGAATGAGTTTTGTTATATGTTTTGAAAAAAGTCTTGTAAGAAAGCACGTATTCCCCTCATGAGATCCATTTGTTCCTTTAGCCTTCGGACTTAAATTTTTTAATATTATTGTTTTAGATCCATAATCATTGGCCAACCTTTAGGCTCGGCTCGACCGAGAGCGAGATTCCCGATGTCACTCTCACCGCATGGAGGAGGAGTTCATCCGCTTATAGGATCTCCACTTCTAGGATCCGTACTGGGAGCCCTCTTCTCCTCATCAGGAGCCATCTCGTCAGGAGCACAATGACCAGGATTGAGTGCCATGTTGCCATCGTACCACCACCCATTCTCTAACACTCCACTTTGACTCTAGACACTTTGTTTTGTGTGTGTGTGTGTGTGTGTTTGAATTCAAAATATTGTGTTGTTTCCTTTTTCTTGTGGCGTATGAATATTGTATTTGTTTAATAAGGTCACCTTGGGTGAGCATGTGTTTGTGTTTGTATGTTTGTTCCGACTTTCACTCACCAATGATTAAGTAACTTCATTCTACCGTTATTCTTGCCCTATTGGGGATAATATCATGCTTAAGTGTGGGGGTATTAAATGTCTATATGAATGGAAAGTGAATTCAAATGTGATGAATCACATATCTATTTAATGTTTTGAAGCCTTGTTATTGCCCTAATTTCAAATTTTTGAGGGATCCAAGCACTTTTGAATGAATGATTGATTGTTGGACTACATTGTGGGTGTTTTGGAACCTAGATTATATGCTTAAAAATTCAAAATTATAGTGGTTCCAAGCACATTGTCTCATGCATGAATCATACTCACTGTGATTTGACATGTCTGATGGTGTGATACAGTGCATTATAGGGAGTATGGTGGCGCTACAATGGCTATTGGTACATGAGAGGTTTTACTTCCATTTCCTCTTGGTTGTGTTGATACTGTTTGCTATTGAGTTTATGACATATGTGTGAGACTCTACCAAATTTTTGTAATCCAAAAAGTTTTGCAAAAAGTTGCTCCATTATAAAAAATGGGTGTTCTCACGTGAGAGACAACCGATTATTGTGTTAAGCCTTCAAAGGACTTTTCTTTTGGATTGGAGTGCCATTTGAGAATGTGTTTGGAGATCGGATAGCTTTTTAGCATCTAACCATCATCATTTTCTACCTTTCACCCCCATTCATTTCTCCTCCTCATGGGACTTGTATGAGAGAACATAGTGTGCCTTTGCGAAAGTCGAGAGACCTCAACTCTTGATATATCTCGCATGTGTGGCAACCTGTATGCAATTGAGATGAGAGTGCAGGTTGGGAATTGGTGTTTGAGAGATCAAGACTCACATTCGAACGCTTCACCTTCCTACCCTATTTCATCCTCTCAACCATCACTTTCCCCACATGAGTCTAAGGAAGATAAGTCAATGTACTTTTGCTCTAGGCCAAGAGATAGAGAGCCTTTGATTGTGAAAACTTCAGGTATGATGCCAGAAACGACAATGTGAGTTCAGGCTCGAGAGTTTGAGTCCTCTTTTGAAAAGAAAGAGCACCACCATGGATTCCATTGCTTTTCACACATTTTCTTGAGAGACCTCCTTTGCACATGTGAAGTGTCTAGACCCCTTTAGTTGGCAAGTTCCTCATCTGAGAGTGTGCTGTCATGAAGAGATGTAAGTAAGGTTTCTCATCTCTGATTGTCTTTAAAAGTTCTACCAACAACCTATAGTGAACACCATTGTGAGTTTCTTGCAAGTTGCACTGGTGTGTGTTAGGTTTGCTTGGGGGCAAGTAAATGGTTAAGTGTAAGGGAGTTTGATTAGAGCCATTTTATACACATTTATACCCCTTTATCTTTGTCGTTTGAGTTGTGTAGTGTTTTCCTTGGAGCCATTTTACGCTAGATTATGTTATGTTTTAGTATGTTTCAGGCTCTACCAGGTGAAATTGACGAAATGATCGAAAGTCAGACAAAAGGGAGAAAAAACGAGACAAAGTGTTGAAAATATCATAGTACACAGTCTAGAGAAAATGTTCATAGACAAGCGGGCATGAAGATTACTCTAGAACCATGCAATTTGCAAGTCCACATGAGAATTTGACGTCTCGCAAGCAGTGCATACGTCATTGGCTGAGGCGCGCGAAGAATACGAGTAAACCATGAAGTACTTAAGTGAAATGGTGTGTTTTCAATCGACATCACAGTTTCACTGCACACATCACATGCTTGACACCTGGCCGTTAAGATTGCAATGTTGGGTATAAATATGAAGAGAGAGCATATTTCAAAAGGAGAGGAGTTTTAGAAAGTGTAATCTTCTTCTTCATTCTAGAGAGAGAAAGTGACAAACCAATGAAGATGGAAGGGGAATTTTAGTTGCCCATGATCAAAGGAGGCCAAATTCCATCTTCAACACCATCCCAAGCAACTAGGGAGATGAAGATTCATCTTTTCATCGGTTTTTCCTTCTCTATAGTTGTACTTCTTTCTCTAGGCATGGAGTAGACTATCTATACACTTGGATGATGTGAACCCTAGTCTAGTATGTGGTAGTTTTGTGATTGTGAACTCTATATTGTGATTGGTAAAGATTGTTTATATGTTGATTGAGTATTTATTATGATAATTGAAGGTCCTTGGTCAATTCCCTCAATGTTTGGGCCAATTAAAATAGGTGAGAGAAGATCTCCTTAGGGTAATTTAGGACATTATTCAATCATAGTAAGGGGCATGAACGAGGGTGAATGGTTTCTTTAAGCCATTTCGGATCATTGCCCGAGGGTGTCATTTTTTCTTCTCTCAATGCTCTTAGATGCTCGTTATTTCGCATTCGTAGATGAACTTCATCGGAGAATCGGACTTGTAGTTCTCTAGATCTAAGGAGCAGAGATGATAGAGACGTTTGATTGTATATGCTTAGTGCTGCTGGCCCGAGAGTGTCAATCGTTCCTTGAATGCTTTAGCTAGAAGAAATCTGGAATTCGTTCCGGTCATAGATTATCACCAACTTCGGTAGCGTCCCGCCGCCGGCGAGGCTTCGGAGGCATTCGGGGGAATGGATTTTGTTTTTCAATTTTGCATTATTTTATTTTATTTCTTTGTGATAATGAGGTGGAATTTTTAAAATATTAATTTTTATCTTTTTAATTGCCACGTCAATCATTTAACGGTCAACTATGAGAGTTGACTGCCACATCAGCAAAATCTAACGGAGAGTGACCAAACTTGAACTGTTGAAATAATTTTAGTGACTACGAATGGAATAAAGTAATTTTAGTGGCTAACGTGAAATTTATTAGTAATTCAAGTGACCAAACTTGCAATTTAGCCTTAATAATAACTATAAAAAAGAATTTTTTTTTTTCAAAAGATATCATATATTAATCCAATCAAAAATATAGTTATATCCTGGAAAGCAACCAGGCCCTGAAATCAAACAAACGATTCCCAGTCGGGTACAAAGAGAGGGCTTTTTTAGCTACCGAATGAGCTACCCTATTGTTCTCCTGACCTACAAACCGCACACTAAACCCCGGATGGGCAGCAAAATACTGACAAATCTCTTTCAGGACTGCCCCCAAGTGACTGTCGCGCGAATCGGCTTGATTAATCTTGTCAATAATGACCTTCGCATCACCCTCGAACCGAACATCGGACAAACCCCACTCTAAACACCAAGTGATAGCCTCACGCAGCACAAGAAATTCCACCACCAGCGGCTCATCAATTCATGCAAATTGCACACCTTTAGCCCGAAGGACCGTCCTTCCCGGACCACAAAGAACCATCCCTCCAGCCAAGTGTGATCCCCTCCTAGTTGCCCCGTCCCACATGCAAACCAACCGAGAGTCATCCACTTGGGTCCCAGGCTGGACCACCTGGCAAGACATCCTTGGCTGCTGGTCAACCGGCAGACCCACCCACTCCTCATATTGCTGGTGAAATTGGCGCATTAAAGCCGGAATCCCAAACTGTTTGCCTTCAAAGACAACCCAGTTTCGTGATCGCCAGATCCGCCAGAGGATGGCAACCACCGCCATAAACAGCGACGAATCATGGACAAGGGCAAGCATCCGCTTAAGAAACAATGGAAACGTGTGCCGAGGCAAAGCCTCCCCTAAATAATCCAACCCCGAGTAGTCCCAGAGAGCCCGCGCAACCGGGCAGTAAAGAAACAAGTGCTCCATAGTCTCGGGACCATCCCAACAAATCGGACACCGGGGCATCACAGGAACCTTCTTTTCAATGAGCGCCTCTGTGGTTGGAAGGGCCCGATTCAAAATTTTCCAGACAAAGACTTTAAGCTTCGGAGGGATCTTAGCTTCCCACAATTGGATCTAGCTTTGCCTATCCATCCAACTAACCGAGTCCCGCCACCCACCCCTCCTCCTGTCAAGCTCAACTGCCAGATGATAGGCCGTCTTAACCGAGAACACCCCACCAGTAGTGTTATGCCAGATAAGTTTATCATCCACATTCCGCCTCGGAAGTGGGATAGCCTTAATGGCTCGACAGACAGAAGGGTCAAACCATTGACTAAGCTTAATCTCATCCCAACGCCCTTCCCCTTGACAAAAAACCTCCGCCACCAAGGGATCCCCCCCCCCCCCCCCCCCATTTGGCAGGATGCGGGGATTATAGCAAGGGGAATCCAGCTGAAGCCCAGGAATCCACTTAGAATGTACAAGGGAGGCCGAGAGGCCATTGCCGATCTGCCATCTTAAACCTGCCTCCAAAAGCTGACGCCCAAACAGGATACTCTGCCAACCCCAAGAAGGCCTAGACCGGGCAGTAGCAGACAGAAAAGATCCTTGAGGAAAGTACTTCCCTTTATACACCTGAGCTAGGAGGGAATGCGGCTCATTGAGAATACGCCAGCCAATCTTTGCTAAGAGAGCCTGGTTGAAATGCTCAAACCTGCGAAAACCTAAACCCCCATCATGCTTGCTCCGGCAAAGGTTCCGCCAGGACACCCACCGAATCTTGGGGTGACCCTCCTCAGCTCCCCACCAGAAACGGGCCACATGTCTATCCAACAAACGACAAAGGGAGAGGGGCAACCGGAAACATGACATAACATACAGGGGCAAGGCCAAAGCAATTGACTTAATTAAAGTCTCCTTAGCCGCCCAGGATAAAATTTTCTGTTTCCACCCCTGCAGACGCGCCAGTAGTTTCTCTTCCAGATACCGGAATGTCGCCATTTTGGATCGGGCAATTAAAGTGGGTAGCCCCAAGTACTTATCATGAACCCCTACTGCACCGACCCCAAGAATCGCAGCCAAAAACTCCTGATCAACCAAGGCAACATTTTTGCTAAAGCAGACTGCCGACTTTTCCAGGTTAACCCGCTGCCCACTCAGCTCCTCATACTCATTTAGCACCACAATTAAATTCTCGCACTCCTGAAGAGAACCTCGCAGGAATAGATAGGAATCATCCGCGAAAAACATATGCGAGATCCTAGGAGCACGCGGCGCGCCACCTTCACCCCCTCCAACTTCCTTTCAGAGATCGCCTTCCGAAGAAGGGCTGCAAACCCCTCTGTGCAAAGCACAAACAGGAGAGGCGACAACGGTCCCTGAGATGAACCGAAAAAACCCGAAGGCGTACCATTCATCAGAACCGAAAAAGTAGCGGATCTAAGACATTCATGTACCCATCCTTGCCAGACAGAGTTAAAGCCCATCTTATCCAAAACTGCCAGAAGGAAGGGCCATTCGACTCTATCATAGGCCTTTTCCATGTCAACCTTTAGAGCCATGTACCCCTTCTTCCTCTGCCTTTTTATTTTGAGATAATGCATTAACTCATGCCCAAGAAGGACGTTATCAATAATCTGCCGGTCTTTTATAAACGCATTTTGTCCCTCAGAAACAATTTGAGGGAGCAAGCCCGCAAGCCGCTCAGCCATGATCTTGGTTATAACTTTATAAACGAATTGACAGAGACTGATCGGACGCAGCTGGCGGACATTTTCCACAGAATCCACTTTAGGGATCAACGTAAGCCACGTATGGTTAAAACTCCGTAGCATTCGACTAGTCGAAAAGAAAGAGCAAACCGCCTCAATCACCGAGGCACCCACAACATCCCAGAATGCTTTGAAGAATTTGTCGGTAAAGCCATCAGACCCCGGAGCCTGCTTCGATCCCATAGAAAAGACCGTTTTCCGAACCTCCTCCGGCAAAACCACCGTCGTTAAAAGCACATTCATCTGCGGAGTAACCGTTTGGGGAATGGGGAGGCTCGCCACCCTATCAGCCATATTTAGCACCTGGGACTCCGAAGTAAACAGAGTTTGGTAAAAGCTGGTAGCAATCCTAGCCTTCCCGCTCTCCTCAGTAACCCACTCACCCTCATCATCCCGGAGTCCATCGACAAAATTCCTTTTCCGACGTGCGCGCGTAACCGTGTGGAAATACGCAGAGTTTTGGTCCCCTTTTTTTATCCATCGGACCCTGGAAATTGAAAATATTAATTTTTATATAATTATAAAATAATTAAAAATCCATAATTTCACATCTCCCCAGTAGCCCACTCACCCTCTTCATTCCTTCCCTTGCACCCCAATTTGGAGGATAAGTAAAACATCCCACTCTCTTCATTCCTTTCCTTGCACCCCAATTTGGAGGATAAGTAAAACAATAATTTTGCACTTCCGTTTTGCACCCCTATTATTACAAATTATTCAAACAGATACAAATGTGTCGAAAACTGTTTTTAGCCCTCCCATAGTCCCATTTACACCCAACCTCTTCCCAAACAAAGTGTATAGGTTGTCGTTGTTGCTTGTTGGATATCTTTTTACAGATTTTACGAGTCTTAAGGGACAAGTGAAGTCGTGGGCCTACTATATGTTACCAAGAACGGCTGGTAGAAATATGAAACATTTTACTGTTCACAAACTGTGCGTCGATCTTCACATGACAACGAGCTACTACGCATTTATAGCCAAACCACATGCGAGATGGGAATGAAACTCAAAGACAGTTTGAGCAACGACATCCAATGCTATAGCAGCTATTCAACTACTAACAAGTTATTTTCAGTGAGCCCTTCACCAACCGCAGGATATTCTTGGGACAGCTTCCATTCTCCATCAACCAAGAACTTGATTTCATACCTTCCCCAAAGCGTAAAAACAAAATTCATGTTATGTTGGAGAAGATAAAAGTGGGGAGCAGGAATTAGTAAGTGAAAATAGAGAATGCTCAAGTGAGATTACCTTCCAGGCCTGAGCATTAACGTGGTAGTGAATTTGGTGAGATACCCATCATACTCTGGTGATAAGTGCTCCCCTTGGCTCCAACCATCAAAACTACCCATTACTTGCACACTCTGCAAAAATTGCAATAATGACTCTCCGGTTAATCTCATATAAAAGTGCAATTGCTTAAGAAGTAAATTTTAAGAGATTGCCCTCTCAGTCTCATTCAGTGGAAGTTGGTCAAAACGCCAAAACACATAACAGTTTTACATCAAGTAGACATCAGTTCCTCTACCTCTTGTTTTTCTTTCACTTTGTCTATGATTTTCCTAGTCATGTACTCGATGTTCACTACGGAACAATCTATCTCACTGACAAAACCTCAAGTTGCTATGTTTGATGCTTACCTCAGCCATCCCGCACCAGAATAAGGAGACCTCCTTTAACTGGGCAGCAACCACGTCCTTTACTTGTTCCTTCAACTTTCCATGCAAGCCTGCAAACTCACTAGATAATGAAGATCTCGACAGCATAGTCTCCGTAGTAAATCTTGTAAAGAAGAAAGCCGTGACACAACAAAGCAGAAACAATTGAAAAGAAGCAATCAAATAAGTATCACATTGAATATTGTTTACCCTGTCCTTCACATGTTCCATTAATCTTGCAATTGAAAAGGAAGCAATCAAATAAGTATGACAGATAATATATTTTACCTTGTAAGCGTGAAACAAGGTGGGATTGGATGTATTTCCCATTTATCTTTCTTGAACCTGCAGGAATGCCAGCTTGAGCTATTTCTTCGGCCAGTGCAACCAGAGCCTGCTTAAGGAAAATAACTTAGGAATACCAGGAACATGGTAGCAGAAGAAGTAGAAATAGAAGACAAAAGTGGGCTTTGTCCTCACTGCTGCCAAGTCACAACGATCTTTGCACATCAATTCGTGCAGCATGTGGCGTTCAAGAGTTCAAAGCCATGGATTTGGAAGCATGAACAAAAGGACAAAATGCTAATTCTTAGCAACTTTTAAAGTTAGTGATTGAAAGTACCACTTGCCAACATGTTCCATAATAAAGTCACGCAGAATTCTTTTGGCACTTTAAGAGAAACAAATCACGGAACTTCTGCACAATGACTTGAGTAGACGATGAAAAAGATTTGGATGATAGAAAAGAATTTTGAAAAAGAGAGCACACCTGGGTTTCTTGTTCCATTACAGCAAGTTCAGCTTTGAAGCTGTGCAGTGCTTCTTCATTCACCATCATCTGCAGATAGCAGAAATGAAATAGTGTATCAGTATCATTGCTTTAGCCAACTAGAAAGATATATAAAAACTGAATCGTCCCTTGATTTCAGGACCATTAGCATTTCTTTGAAGTAACTCCCTAAGCAAGCAATACAAGCCTTCTAGAAGGAAACTACAACACAATGTCTCATAGCTCGTTCGACATCTAAGAACCGGGATTTTACTATATAGGAACCAACCTGACGTTTTAGAAATCGGTTCTGTTGATTAGCTTCGCCTAGTTTCTTGACAAGCTTTGCTCTTTCTGGATCCCCAAACAGCAACTTCAGCTGTAACAGATACACAAAAAGTCATGAACAGCAGGGATCAAACACAACTATATTAGAAGTTTAGAGCACCAAACAAGGAAAACTTAATACAATGAGTATATGATACTTTAAATGCTTGACATCATAGAGAAGACCCGACATGCATTCTATTTGAGTTACATAATTGTCACTTCCATTAAGAGGATCCCACAGGCAGAGAAGCAAATTTTCTGCTACACTATAGAATAAACAAAATTACCGAAGAAAGGTTTGGAACACCTGGTCACTAGTCAATGGTTTATCATGCAACTGATCTTGGGAATCCGCAGATGCTTCTGCATGCAATGACGATGACTTCTCCAAACTAACTGGCACGGTGAAGATTCTCCAAGATACTAAACCCTTCCTGTGCTTTGCAGTAGAGCCTACATAGAGATGCTTGGGCCCTGCTGGGTGCTTCATCTTTGTGCCCCAGCCAATATTGCAAGGTAATCTATGAACACTTTCCACAAAAGGATTCCGTGACTTCCATGACAACGATGACACTTGCTTTCCCATACAACACCTTTTAAGAACATAAAATAGTAAAACATCTTTTAAGAACATAAAATAGTCACTAAAAAGAAAGAACTTAGAAACGTAACCGATAACAGTAAGAAATGTCTTTTCCAGAATAAGGTTGGGTACTTACCCTGCAATACAGGCTTCCATTCTTTATGATCTTGCTAGCTGAAGAGAAATAGGAAGACCCAAATCAGGAACCAGATTAACTTTAGTTAAGGAAAGGCATGATGAATTAAGTAACCATAACGAGGAAAGTATGCTATCAAATGACACATAGCTCATCTGTGATATCTATGTTTTCCTCAACACGTTACCCAAATAAGAGGATCTCAATCATTCATTCTGACATTAACTATATTAAGAGGCTACAAGGATAAGGCTAGCTCAGGGGTTTTATACTATTTGAAAGACTGGGTTTGCAAGAAAGCGGCCACTAACAGCCCCGAGAAGATCTCTTATTCGAAATAAGAAAACAATGAAACAATTCCCACTTTGGCTTGCTCATCTTGAACTGGCCAAGCAAGTTGACACTTACAGCACTTGATAGTCCATTACAAACCATGAGGACGCTGATACAATCTCAGAGCACATGGACCACATTCTACGACCATTGCAAGCGCTAAGGATCGAACCATGGGAACGACTCTACAGGGCTATCACCTTCTTTGGCCAGATGTTCCAACCGCCCCACAGTACTGACCCGGACAGTAGCGCGAAACAGGCCGTTCTCGGTATGCTTCAGTCAAATGGCAACAGCTAACCATTGTAATTGTCGACCAATAAGTGCTCAACATCCGACTGACAATGTCCAGGCAGACATTTAGCAACAGTACTCCGCCATTGATACGATTAAAATAGAGAACCATTTCGAATTTCTCCCGGACATTGTGACGACGTAAACGGGCAATTCTATGAGCATAGCTAATAGCCATTAGCCCATCAAAACCCCACCGCCCAGAAATCAAGGAGAGCGGGAATCTTGAAGTCCAATCGTATTTAGACGGACAATCAAGGATCACTCCAGGGTAAAGAACACAACGAAGTGCAACGCGAGCGAATAGCAAAGAGACGTACGAGTACACATCATTATCAACCAAAAAGAAACGTACCAGTAGAGCAATGGAGGAAGAAGAAGAAGAAGTTGATTGAGAGAGGGGGACTTGGTCAGTGGCTGGCCGCAAGAACGTTCCAGTGATCGCAGTGCTTTTTTCCTCCTTTCTCAGTGCTGTTGGCTGTGTTTCAGGCTTTCAGCATTTGCTTCTGCGGCTGGGGAATGCGGAATGCGGACTGGGTGCGGAGTGAGAAATGACACGTGTTCGCGATATTTTATTTTGGGGATTGCTATTCGTCGCCCTAAAAATCCTTATTTGTCGCCCTAATTATATTAAATTTACTCCAATGCCGCTAGTTTATCTTTTGTTTTTCAAACACTTAACCTTAAAAGTTGAAACAAATATACATCCACTTGTCTGACAACCTCACCGGAGGACCAATTATCGTCATCAACACCGGAATTTTTGCTTAATGTTTCACCAATCAATGGTGCACCATCACCACCGAATAAAAGAAATGAAGAAAATATAAAAATTACAGGGGGCTTCTTACCTGCTTCAACCTGCCCGCTGGGAATATATATAAAAAAACAGCTTCCTCCTTCTGCTTCCTTCTTCCTCGACAACAGGAGCAGGTCAGCGAATTGGGGGGAATCGCAGCCAGCAAATAGAATGACGGTTGGTTGGGGGAATGGAGGTGCGGCGGGTTTGGAGATCGGCAGCGGTGGTTGGAAATCGGCAGTTGGCGGGACGACACAGGTGGTAGGGATTAGGGAAATTAGAGTTAAGGGTATAAACGTCAATTTGTCATGGTTTAGGGCGATTTTAAAAAAAATTTAGGGCGACAAATAGCAATTCAGTTTGTTTTAGGGTAAATTGCAAGGTTCGTCACTGAGTAGTGAGTATTAAAAAAGTCCATGTTTAATATTTAATTCCATTTTTGGTCACTATAATTAATCAAAGGGTTAATACCTTATTTTGGCCTGAACTATGATTATATAATCAACTTTGGCCCGTGGTTTCAGAAATAAACATCTTGGCCTCAACTATGCAGCATATAGACTCAATTGACCCGACACATAGTTTGACCGTCAATTTGGACGGTCAACTCCGTTGACCGTTAGTCAAGATGCCATGTCATTGCCTAGTAAACATAAAAATCATTAAAAAAATTCAAATTCAAATTATTTTCCTAATTTCTATTATTTATCATTTTCCAAATAACCAAAAAAATAAAATTCTAAAAATATAAAATAACTTTTTTTGGGATATTTGAAAATGATAAATTTTATAAATTAACCAAAATTATCAAATTAACTTTTAAAAATTTAAAAATTATTATATAAATTATATTTTTTTGGGAAGTTTTAAAAATATAAAATAATTTGATAATTTTTGGTTAATTTATAAATTTATCATTTTCAAATTATCCAAAAAATAAAAAAAAAAATATTTTATGTTTTTTATCATTTATTTTTTGTTAATTTGATAATAAATAATTTTTTAATGATTTTTAGGCTGACTAGGCAATGACATGGCGTGTTAACTAACGGTCAACGAAGTTGACCGTCCAAATTGACGGTCAAACTATGTGTCGGGCCAATTGAGTCTATATGCTGCATAGTTGAGGCCAGGATGTTAATTTCTGAAACCACGGGCCAAAGTTGATTATATGTTCATAGTTCGGGCCAAAATAAGGTATTAACCCTTAATCAAACCGTCTAAGTTTAGTTACCTTCCGTTAGTTTCCGTTAATGCTGTCAATTTTTTGCTGATGTGGCTAACGAAAACGCCTAATCACCAATTTTAACAAAAATAAAAATAAAAAATCAACCCTCCACATAAGTAAAGTAGCTACATCAGATAACCGAACCCATCCCAACTCCACCCTAGACCCAACTCAAAACCCAATAGATTTTTTACGAACAAACCCCTCCTTGCGAGTTGTGAGAAGGAAGCTAGCTCCGGTCGTCTTCTAGAGGGTTCTTGCGGCGGCCGCCAATCTGCCATTGTTGTTGATTGGTGGAAGTTCAGTCTGAAAACCGGCTGAAATAGGAGAGCTAGCAAGTAGAGTGGTAATGAGTGAAACCCTGAAAAGAGACTACCAAATATGTGAGGAGATCGGCCTGGGACGCTTCAGCGTTGTCTTCAAATGCATCTCCCTCACCACCGGCTCTCATTGCAATTAACCCCCCGCCCCCAATCTCGATCGAGCCCAAGGTCCCGGGCCTCTGTTAAGTATTGTGTACTTGTGCTACGGTTTACTTGGATTGTGGCCGAGTCTTGTAGTTAATAAGTGTATTAGTGTGGGGCCCAATAATAATTATATAGCCCACGTAAATTGCATGATGCGGCCCATGCACTAGGTTACGATGAGAGTGGTGAAGTTAACCTAGAGCTACAGCTACGATGAATATTTAGAGGAAGAGGGTTCTGCCGCTGTACACATATTCTTGGAACATAATCTCAGTAAATCAGTAGCCTGAAGAGCGTTCTAAGCTCTTCCGTGGATTAGTCCTGGATCTCCAGGGATACCACGTAAACTCCGGTGTCTGTGTTTGATTTCCTTTTCGTCATTATCAATCTGTTTCTGTTTGGTTAACATGGTATCAGAGCTGACCGCGGCTGAATCGGAGAGGCCAACTGTGCGCCTGACATCAACGAACTATGCGCTGTGGGAATTCCAATTTCGAGTGTTCGTGGAAGGAAGAGGCTTACTTGGGATTCTGGACGGGACGGTTCCGCAACCAGCCAACACCGCTACGGCTCAAGAAAAGGCAATGTGGAATCAAAATGATGCTCGTATAAGATCATGGTTGCTTGGGTCAGTAGATCCATCAACATGTCTAAGCCTTCGGTTGTTCCCTACCGCGAACAGAATGTGGAGACACCTTGGAGGACTTTATTCCACCGTGAACGCCGCTCGGCAATTTGAAGTTCAAACCGCACTTGCTCGTCTGGAGCAAGGAGATATGTCTGTTACGGAATATTTCAACGCTGCACAAGAGCTTTGGACGGAGGAAGATATGCTCCATATAGCTCTACGTCCACATTCTGTCGGCTGATATGATTACTGAAAGGCAGCAGACTCGCGTTCTGCAATTCCTTATGCGTTTGAGGCCTGAATTCGAGACTGTCAGATCCACCATCCTCAACCGAGAGCAGCTCAATTTTGATGGGGTGATTAGTAGTCTTGATCGAGAGGAAACCCGGTTGAGAACTCAAGCTCAGTTTAATGCTCGACCAGGTGAAGGAGAGACTATCTTGGCGGGTTCAGCAATCTCGGCCAGGTCAGGTTCAGCTCAAAACCCATCTGTTCTTGCAGTTATGAGACCTCAATTTAATAATAGAGTTCCTAACGCTGAGCTGGAGTGCCATCATTGTCATGAGAAAGGACATTTAGTAAAGCACTGTCGTCAAAGAAACTATTGTGTGTACTGTAAAAGGATGGGACACATCATCTTGGAATGTCGTACCCGGGAAAGAAACGCTGAACGTTGGACAGGGAATTCATCATGGAATTCATCGCTTGCTGGTGCTGGACGTGGAGCACATGGTCGAGGTATGCAGGGTCGCGGAGGCTCTCGGCCAGCTTATAATGTTGGTGAATATAATGGTGAAAGACCAAATGCTACTGCCGCACAAATAGAACAGCTTGTACAAGCTGTCACCGCCCTTCAACACTCTCTCCCTACTGCATTTGGATCAGCTCTCTCGGCCCTCCAAGGTAAAACCCAATATAAGCCATGGTTGATCGATTCCGGGTGTTATAATCATATGACACATGATGAAAATTTATTGCATAATGTACGATCTGTTAGTCATGCCGGTTTGACAATTGCGAATGGTGATAGAATGGCAGTTCAAGGTGTTGGTAACGTAGCTGTTCCAAAAATCTCATTATCTAATACTCTTCATGTTCCTGCTTTGGTTCCTAACTTGGTTTCTGTCGGACAGCTTACTGAGCAGGGTTGTTCTGTTATGTTTGCTCCCACTGGTTGTGTTATACAGGACATGAAGACAGGGAGACAGATCGGAAGGGGGAGTAAGCAGGGGAGGATCTTTCATTTGGAGGAGCTTCAAGATACTTCGGGTTCATCATCTATTTCGAGTCAGCCATCCAAAAGTCTATGTGTGTCTAGGTCTGTCAGTAGTCCTTCTTCGTTCATAAAAAAATTCTCGGTTTCTAGTCCTGTGTTTTCTAGTACGTCAAATAAGGAGTGGGATCTATGGCATGCTCGGTTAGGGCATCCCCACTCTGCGCGTCTGTCAGAAATGTTTAAACAATCTCTTTTGGGGAAAAATTGTGTTGATGTGTCAGCTGAACATTCTTGTACCAGTTGTGTTGAGGCAAAGACTTCTAGTACATCTTTTCCTTCTAGCTCCACTATTATAACTGAGCCATTCCATCTCATTCACACCGATCTTTGGGGACCTTCCCCAACCATATCACGTCTTGGGTTTCGATATTTTGCTCTCTTCATAGATCATGCCACTAGATATACCTGGATTTATTTTCTTCGTCTAAAGTCTGAACTCCGTTCCGTGGCCATAGAATTTCTTAATATGGTCCAAACTCAATTTGGACGAACAGTCAAGATTATAAGATCCGATCCTGGTGGAGAGTTTAGTTCGAGTCCTTTGCATGATGTCTATCGCTCTCGAGGTATTTTAAGTCAAATGTCTTGTCCTGGTGTATCTCAGCAAAATGGTCTAGTTGAACGGAAAAATAGACATGTCATGGAACTCACACGAGCCCTTCTTTTAGCCTCGTCTGTTCCGAGTCGGTTTTGGCCTGAGGCAGTTGTTACTGCAGTGAGACTTATTAATTATCAGGTTACTCCGGTTCTGAGCCAGACAAGTCCTTACTATGCCCTTTATGGTCATCATCCTGATTATTCCCGTCTTAGAGTCTTTGGCTGTCTCTGTTTCGTTCTTCTGCCTAAACGTGAACGTACAAAATTAACTTCTAAGACTGCTAGATGTGTCTTTCTTGGATTCAGCAGTGTTCACAAGGGGTATCTATGTTATGATTCTTCTGGACAGCGTATGAGAATTGCCACTTCCGTTGTTTTCTTTGAACACAACATGTTCTACTCTTCTAAAAATGTGTCAGATATAGAGTTCCTTGGTCCATCTTCCTCCCTGCCCATTTTTGAAGAGTTTGATAATGATGAACCTTACGTGCCCAATGATCTTGCTGATCCGCCCTCTTCCCAAGTTCTGTCTCCCCCCACGTCGCCAGCTTCCAGTTCAGCTTCATCAACACCTTCTACTAGCAACAGTTCCACACCTGGTGATTTATTTTCTCATGGCAGCACTACCACTTCTCCATCCAGCGGAGCATCTATTTCCCCAGCTCCACCGCTTCCTCGCCGTTCAAATCGCTCTACCAAGGGCGTACCACCTCCAAGCTTCGAAGATTACATGGCCTATGGAGTTGATACTCTAATTGTTCCTACAACTTTCAAGCAAGCACGAGGAAATCCCATTTGGGATCGTGCGATGCAAGACGAATTTGATGCTTTGGAGGCCAACCGGACTTGGACTGTAGTTGATCGGCCTGTTCCTTGTCCTCCCACTATTGGCAGTCGTTGGGTATATGCAATTAAAGTTCGTCCAGATGGTTCCGTCGAACGCAATCGGGCTAGGTTAGTCGCTCTTGGATACACTCAGGAACATGGGATCGATTATAATGAGACATTTGCTCCTGTAGCTAAAATGTCCACTGTTCGTACTTTACTTGCTGTTGCCGCTCTATATAATTGGCCTCTATATCAGCTTGATGTGGAGAATGCGTTTCTGCATGGGGATTTGGAGGAAGTGATTTATATGGAACGACCACCAGGGTATACTGTTGGTCGTGATGATCAAGTCTGCTTGCTACATCGTTCTCTGTATGGTCTCAAACAGGCACCCAGGGCCTGGTTTGAGAAATTTCAAGCCACCGTAGTGGAGCTCGGCTACAGTCAAAGTCTCAACGATCCTTCTCTGTTCACGAAGGTGACGACTGCTGGTATTGTTATTCTTCTGTTATATGTGGATGATATGGTTATTACCGGCACAGATTTGAGAGGTATAGACAAACTCAAGGCAGGTTTGAAACAAGCTTTCAGTATCAAGGATCTTGGGACTTTATCTTATTTTCTCGGGCTAGAGGTTAGTCGGAATGATCAAGGAATATTACTCAGTCAACGGAAGTATATATCAGACTTACTTGGAGATCATAATTTCGCCGACTGCAACCCTGTGAAGACTCCCATGGAAGTTAATCTAAAACTGCAGAAGGATTCAGGGGAACGTTTGAAGGATGGGTCTCAGTATCGCAGCATAGTCGGCAGTCTTATCTATCTTTCAGCTACCCGACCAGATATTTCTTATGCGGTTCAGGCAGTTAGTCAATTCATGGCTGACCCCTGTGTTGATCATCTAACAGCAGTTCACAGGATTTTGCGTTATCTGCAAGGTACCCAAGATGTTGGTATTTTGTTTCCTTCTCATGGTTCGGCTAGCATTTCTGCGTATTCCGATTCAGACTTTGCTGGATGTATCGATACTCGCCGATCCACATCTGGTTGGTGTGTGCAGTTTGGTGGCGCGTATATATCTTGGCGTTGTAAGAAGCAAGATAAAGTATCAAAGTCATCGACTGAAGCTGAATATCGCGCCATGTCCGAGGTTGGATCCGAAATGGTATGGCTTCGTCGTCTCTTGTCTGATTTTGGAGTTACTTGTTCATTACCCATGGAGTTATATGTAGACAACACCAGTGCTGTCCGTATCGCCGAGAACCCGGTTCTGCATGATCGTACTAAGCATATAGAGATCCATGTTCATTATATTCGTGATCTTGTTCGTGATGGTTCGATCAGACTTCATCATCTACAGACGGAGGAGCAAGTAGCTGATCTTTTCACAAAGGCCTTTTCCACCAGCCGACATTGGTATCTCAGAAACAAATTGATGCTGCGAGATCGGCATCAATTTGGGGGAGGATGTTAAGTATTGTGTACTTGTGCTACGGTTTACTTGGATTGTGGCCGAGTCTTGTAGTTAATAAGTGTATTAGTGTGGGGCCCAATAATAATTATGTAGCCCACGTAAATTGCATGATGCGGCCCATGCACTAGGTTACGATGAGAGTGGTGAAGTTAACCTAGAGCTACAGCTACGATGAATATTTAGAGGAAGAGGGTTCTGCCGCTGTACACATATTCTTGGAACATAATCTCAGTAAATCAGTAGCCTGAAGAGCATTCTAAGCTCTTCCGTGGATTAGTCCTGGATCTCCAGGGATACCACGTAAACTCCGGTGTCTGTGTTTGATTTCCTTTTCGTCATTATCAATCTGTTTCTGTTTGGTTAACAGCCTCGTCTCCCCAAACCCTCACCTCTGTCCATCTCCACGCTGCCTACGAAGACGATTCCCACCTCCACATGGTCATCGACCTCTGCCCCAAATCCAACCTCCATGCCAACGGTGGCGCGTTCGCGGAGCACGGAGCTAGATCCATATCCCCAACTCATGACCACCTTCTTCCATTGCAATTAACCCCCACAGAAAACCATTAACCTGCAGTTAATAAACCCATCTCTCACTTAGCCTCCAGTTCCCCTCTAACCCCCCTTTAAAATAAATCTAAGAACCCTGAACCTAGAACAGAGCAGCCACATACCCTCCATCACCTTCCTCCTCGAGCAAAATCCAACCGCCGAGTCACCGACGGGGGTAGAGAAACAACAAGCGCAGCTCTTGCTCAGAAATCCCAGACCACCTCCGCGGGTTGCAGCTCCTTTAGTTGACCAATTCTTTATCCCTATGTAGAAGTTAGGCTTTTATTCAGCGGCAACGGGAGGTGGAGAAGAAAGAGAGTGGGTCTGGTGGGATAGAGGCGGTTCGAGAGGGGAAGATGAAGAAGCCACCATCGGTGAGGTGGCATTTTCCTGGAGATATGATTCGAGATTTGGGAAACTGCCGAACCGGAGGTGTAGAGTCGGGAATCTATCTTTGTTGGCTGGCGTGGAGATCTGATTTGGGAGGAGGGATTTTTTTCCAGTTGGGTCAACTAGAGGAAGAAGAGGAAGGGTTGGGTGCTGGTTTAATGATGTGGCAGCTCAGACTTCTTTTTGTTTTGTTAAAATTAGCTGATTAGGCACTTCTCTTAGCCATGTCGGCAAAAAATTGACGGTATTAACGGAGGCTGACAGAAGGTAACGGAGAGTTACCAAACTTGGATTGTTCGATTAATTATAGTGACCACGAATGGAATTAAATATTTATAGTGACTAAATATGAACGTTTTTAGTAATCTTAGTGACCAACCTTGCAATTTACCCTTTTATTTTTTGCTTTACGTTTTGGGAAATACTTAAGGTGATTTAATCGATAATGGCGATTAGTTATTAATTCATAATTGATAATTTTTTAGTGAATCAGTTTCGACTAACTAATTTTTCTTAGCGGTTGACCATTAGGAAAATCGATAACCGCTTATTAGTATAATCATTTTGTCCAAAATTTAAAACCAGTCAAAGTCACAATTCTAAACATCTCAATTCTCAAACAATCCAATAATCTCAAATGCGCCAAATAGTCAGAGTCCTGAAACTCACCCTCTCCAGCTCTCCTTTGCACTCGATAGAATGAACCTGCATTTTAGTAGTCTTTGTTTCTTTAATGTTAGTAAATGAGGATGATCTTGTGCTGCTAGTGTTTGATTTCTAGCTAGTTGGTACTCACTAACTGGTAGGGGTATAGGTGTCAAAACATAGCCCGACCCGATTAACCCGCCCGATCAATCTGACCCGCAACCCGAATTGACTAAAAGTCAACAACCCGTAACTCGATTGACCCGCAACCCAACTAACCCGCAACCCGACTAACCCGCAACCCGATTAACCCGAACCCGATTGACCCGCAACCCAACTGACCCGCAACCCGATTAACCCGAACCCGATTGACCCGAACCCGACTAACCCGTAACCCGACCGACTCAACCCGAATTTCATCTAATCCACTTGAATAATTATAAAATAATACATTACATAG